AACCTACCAGCGTCATCTAACTGATGCTAAAGGTTGCCATGTGCGTCGGATTTAGACATATTGTCAAAAGTGTCAGTTAGATGACGCCCTAGGATGAGAATGCGTTGGTTTCCTCAAGGGTGCTCAGGTTTTCCTCAGTTTGTGTGTGTGTGTGTGTCCCAAGTCATGTAATGGGAAGGGTTGGGGAAAGACGTGACAAGCAAACTATAAAAATAATTGGCAAGAAAATTCAGGGACAGTCTCTTGCGTATGGCTAGATATGTCCATATAAACACCAAGAGTCAGATACGACTGAAATGGTAATAGATAAAGTAGAAAAGTTTATGTTATTAAGTAAAATAATTTTAATTAGGCTATTTGAACTATGAAAATCCTTGGGTGTGAGAGACCCGGGTCCAAATCCGCTGTGAGACACCAATGTGTCCCTGAGCAAGACACTTAACACCTAGTTGCTCCAGATGCGTGCGACCTCTGACATATATAGCAATTGTAAGTCACTTTGGATAAAAGTGTCAGCTAAATGAATAAATGTAAATGAAAATCATAGTTTTTACTTGCAAAAACATAAATTTGACAGCATTTTACAGTAAAACTACATATGTGTTAAACCATTCACAATACAAGGTAACTTACAATAAACAGCTTTTTACTGTAGCATTTGATTTTGTTTATTTTTTTTCCAAATATGTTTTACAATTAAGTCATCATAGTGTCATCACTGTGCAATTGTATGCACAATTACATTTAATTTTGACATGGCAAAGTATACAGTGTCACCTCAACTCACACCACCTCATTTTTGCCTCTCATTTGCATAAAGTTCACCATTTTAAACGTTTTGATGCATTCTCTCACTCTGCTGTCAATACCACAATGCCCCAAACGAACCCTTCTGCTCAGCTCCCATGAGTGAATTGAACACGCTCACTCAGTTCAGTTAAGCACAAATGGACAGGTACGGTTGAAGGCACTGGTTATGAATCTTCTCGCTTGTCTCTAACTGAGATCAGCTGGTAAACACTGTCTTAATCATCTTTCGGTGTCAAAGGCAAGAGGCAACCTCCTCTAAGTTTGAGCCATGGCAGCTTGCATGAGAGTCACACCAGCATTAAAATTCAATCAAGTCAACTTACAGGTGCTCTTATATGCGGTCACCCTTGAAGCAGGAGACGAGGAAAGATCATTGATCATATGGGCTATCATAGCAGCACAGTAAACAAACACTGAAGGCCATGCGGATAGACCAACCAATCATGAGATGCCAAAGGGCATCACACCCATTCAATATAGCCTATAGAGAAGGTGCGGACAGGTCACCTCGAGCATGTACAATCCATCCTCATCATTGAGTCTGTAGATGCAGAGAGAGAGAGATGGAGACAGCTCAGACATCTGGACATACAGGAAGAGAAATAATGATGTCAGTCTAATGGATCTAACATTGGACATATCCCTGAATGCATCCATTAAAGAAGTTTTTTCTTAATAATCTTATTTTATTAAATAATAGGGCTGCACAATTAATCGAATTTGTAATCACGATAACAATTACAGATGCCACAATCAGCCTATGTAAACGTTCAAAGAAGCATTTACACACAGAAAAAATCCACTTACATTATACTGTGTTTTTTTTATAACATTATAATAGAATGCCTATTTTACTTTGGTTTGGTTTCTTTAAAAAAAAAAAAAAATGATATTTGGTATTTAAAGCATAATGCTATAGAAAATGAATAGGGTTTTCAGGTTTTTTGGCATGTATTCACTTCAAAAAATGGTCATTCAATGTAAATTGTGATAATCTTAAAGGGTTAGTTCACCCAAAAATGAAAATTAAGTCATTAATTACTCACCCCCATGCTGTTCCAACCCCGTAAGACCTTCATTCATCTTCGGAACACAAATAAAGATATTTTTGATTGAATCTGAGAGCTGGATCACTCTTCCATAGGCTTCCTAAGGGACTGGCTCTTGACTGCCCATAAAGTCATTAAAGAAAAGGTTTAAATATTCCATGTGCCTACAGCGGCTCAATTATAAGTTTATCAAGCGACGAGACTACTTTTTGTGCAAAAAAACCGTAAATAACGACTTTATTCCACTATTCCATTACTTCTTTATGGGCGCATGCGCGAGAACTGAGACGAGGACGTTCTCATTCGTCTACTTCTTGTTACCGGCTGCTCACCGCTTAGGAGTTTTACCGCCACCTACCGTATAAAATGATGATCCATATATAAGGCGCTCCGGATTATAAGGAACACTGTCGTTTTTTGAGAAGATTAAAGGCTTTTAAGTGCACCTTATAGTGCGGAAAATACGCAAATTGAAAAGCGTATGTACAGCGCGCATCTTCCTCTGCTTGTAAACAGAAAGTTTTGCGCTTCCAGCTATATCAGCACATCATCTTATACGGTAGGGGGCGGTAAAACTCCTAAGGAGTGAGCAGCCGGTAACAAGACGAATGAGAACGTCCTCGTCTCAGTTCTCGCGCATGCGCCCATAAGGAAGTAATGGAATAGTGGAATAAAGTCGTTATTTATGTTTTTTTTCGCACAAAAAGTATTCTCGTCGCTTGATAAACTTATAATTGAGCCGCTGTAGGCACATGGAATATTTAAACCTTTTCTTTAATGACTTTCTGGGCCGTCAAGAGCCAGTCCCTTAGGCAGTCTATGTAGGACTGATCTAGCTCTCAGATTCAATCAAAAATATCTTTATTTGTGTTCCGAAGATGAATGAAGGTCTTACGGGGTTGATACAGCATGGGGGTGAGTAATTAATGACTTAATTTTCATTTTTGGGTGAACTAACCCTTTAATTTTTAATCGCACACTGTAAAAATATTTTCAAGATTTGTTATAACAACATATTTTCTTTTGTCAAATCAACTTTATAAAAATTTATTTAGTTGAAATAACTTATTTTTTGAGTTTCTGATGATTAAATTAATCTCCTTCACTGTATTAACTCACTTTTTCCAGTTCAATCAACTTAAAATTTTAAGGCAACCCAGGTTACTTACTTTTTTAAGTTAAACCATCAATATTTTTTTACAGTGCAATTACAATTTCAAGGGAATAATCAACAATTATGAATCTCGTCATAATCGTTAAATGTTCATTTTACGTACGTATGTATTTCTAATTTATGAATAATAATTAATAAACATTGACCATGTTTGATGCTCTATTACAATTTCTAATGCTACTGCATATTAAATCTGTCTAAACTTTCTTTTTGGGTGAACTATACTCATATGTACCATACTCAACACAGTGACAGTGACAAATGTAGTACATCCGGATAGCATTAACACTACACATGTCAAACTATATATACAAAGCAATAACTCACTCCAAAAAAGTATCCACTTAAAGAGTATCCAGTTTCAGATGGAGCGACTGTTATTTTTTCCGTGAGTTTCACCAACTAGCATTGCAACATGTAAACTGAAAAGTATTATTTTAGTGTTTACCTCAACAACGTAAACCAAGAACGTATAATGTTCAGGGTTCATTTACACATCACAAAGGTCAACAGAGTCTGAGGAAATCCTCACTGTAACTAAAAAAAGATGTTCTTCCGTCTGCAAGAAAATAACTCTGCCAGCTAGCATGCAGGGAGAGGCACCGATCAAAAGTACACTGTGCGGAATTGATCTGCACCCAGCAAAAACCCAGTCAAACCGCTCTCCGTTCTGGCTGCTTATCAGCTTGTGTCTTCGCTATGTCTGCATTACATGAGAACAGGAACATCAAGACAAGCGGAAGGTCATGTTCAGCCTGGGGAGAGGCCCGTCCATTTACTCATGCAGATCAATATGATTAACTGGGAGGAAGCAGCCTTCCCCCTCTTCCAGGCAGCGTAGAAAGAATTTATACCCTGCTGTTCAACTGTGCCAGTTTTCCCCAGGCGAAGGGAAACAATGACACAGAGAGGAGGCAAACTGTTCATGTTCAGTTTCTCTTGGCGCAGAGATTCACAAACATGGGTAAATGGAAGAGTCAAACAGGAAATTATCAGTGGAATGGAGTTCCTAGTCATATGTCAACTTTGAAATATGGTCCGCTCGGGACCTCCACTTGTAGATGCTTCCATGATTTGTAATTTAGTTTTTAATTTAACATGATCATTGTAATAATGAAATCTTTTGAGGTTTCGCGCTGGTGGAAGCCTTTGGAGAAACAAAGACTTTTTGAAGATGGCTCAAAGTGTACTAGAGGAACTTCAATATGCAAGTGCATCAAAGCCTTTTGCTTGTTATGATTGCAAATGTTTAGTTTCTTGAATAAACTAATAGGTTCCTCAGAGAACTGCTTTAGAGGTTCTCCAGAGGGTTTCACCGCACCAGAGTCTATGGCATGTGAAAACTAGTGATTCCCACAAACAATATGTTTATTGGAGACAACTTTTGAACAGAATGCAATCTAGCTGGAATCAGCACCATGGACAGCACATGAGATCTCCGTAACAGGTTCAACATGCAGGATTACTTCCTATTATTATGATTACAGTTCTATTATAGTTATATGTTGAGGTTCAGGCAAAATCAGCTCTTCTTTTGAATGACAACTACCTGAAAGGAAATGCTTCTACACTGAAAGCTGCGTATGACAGCAAGTATTACTGATACAAAATCGACAAGTCACGTCTTATTGAACTACATCTAATCCATACACACTGATCAATAACATCAACATTTGTACAGGCCTTCATGGCTAACACATCTCAATAATAGCATTTATCATTCTGGTCCTTCAAGGAACACTTTCAGCTGCTTGTCTTGCATTAATAATCAATCAAGGAGGAGTTGCAGTCTGCTTCCCTGAGGTTTAATGACTGGCAAAGCTGGTGATCTCAGCACAGTTATAATATCTGTGGCCATATTAAATAGCTCACACAAAAGCATCATTGAATCAACTACTTTATATTTAATCACATGTGTAATCTACTTAAACATTACACAACATATTGATAAAATAAATATACCTTACCTTAACTGCTTCTGCGTGCGTGACCCGGTCGAACACTTTGTCGTTAACTTTCATTATCTGGTCTCCTATTCTCAAACCCTCCTTTTCTGCCAGTGAACCCGGTTCCACCAGCGACACATAGATCCCAACTCCATGCTCGGAACCTCCGCGGATGCTAAATCCCAAACCCTCGTTGCTCTTGTGACGCTTGAGGATCACCTGTCGGATCTCTCCAGGGGGCTCCGGTAAGAAATTGCTGCCCAGTAAAGGAATAAGAGTCGCTGTCCCATCGCTGCTGGTGCTGATACTGTCAGGAGATCCGCGCAGAGCGGCTTGAGGCGCGCAAGCAGGCGAGAAATGAGCCCCGTGTGTTGGACTGGAATTAGCAGCCTCTTGGGAGCCGTCCGGGTCACCATTGCGCGCAAGCACATCAGATTTCAAGTAGAGCCCCTCTGATGTGTACTGATCGAACAGAAGCTGATCCGAGCGCGGAATGACCAGACGCAGCATGGGCAGGAGCTGACGCTTGCTCGGGACGTTCAGTATAACCTTAAGCGTCTGGACCAGATCGTACACATTGCGCTTGGAGTGGTACACGTTGAGGCAGTGGATGAACTGCTCTCTCTCGGGGTCGCTGAGCAGCAGGTTGAGAGCGTTGTGAAGCTTCTTCACGTTGGCGGACAGAGAACGCGCGCTGGAAGCCACGGAGTTGCCCGAGGAAGAGTTGAGCGACAGGCGCTCCAGGTCTGTGCTCATCCTCGCGCCCTTTGCCTGGATCACAGAGGCACGCGGAAGCGGAGGGGTCCGGCGAGCATTGCAGTAGCACCGGAACCGAGTCTACAGGAGCCTGCGGAGCGGCGCATGGCACTGCGGTGCCTTGATGTTTACGGTCATACTCAATATTATATCAAACGAGTCACACAGGACCTAAAAAAACAAACAAACACATAAATCTAATTATCGAAAAGTTTGGAATTGAAATAAACACTTTCAATTTTAAATGCTGCTATGTAAATTTTAGGCCTATGTAAAAAAAGAATCATCATTTTAGTCTGAAATATTGAAAAAGTTACAACGTATACTATGACTGAACTTATTTACATATTAAATGTACATTATGTACAATGGGGTGTTTTACATGACATATTCTGTTGTTTAGTGTTTGCTGCATTCATTTAATGTCATGTACCTGGAAGGTACTGTGATCTGGCTTTGTTATTAATCACAGTTGCTAAAGAGATATTTTTTTCTACTTTTATCAACTTGTGGCATTCAACAGTAGGCTACCCGATATTATTGGAACAGTTATTTTACAATGGCAAACAGATTAGGCTAAATAACTAACGAAAGTCTATTTTGGAACATGAATAGCCCTACTGAACGAAATAATGACATACACTCTACGATTATGAATTTAACAATATGGTCATCAAAATTCATTCTCATCATCACATTTCATATTTATAAAAAAATATGAAATTGACATTTCACGGTAAAAACACAAGCCCTATATTCGAGCGCAAAGTGCACCTTCCCAATAACGGTGGCAGAAAGCTGCGCGCTCCGGTGCGTCTTGTGCTCGTGAAAAGGGGGTCAAGTGGCCAGTGCGTCTTCTCCAATATCTCTGTCGTCAACAGCGAATCCCTCATGAAGGAGTTCAGGATCTTTGCCCAGAAATCCAAAGCTTTACAACGACCACAATCATACGAATGCGTCACCGTTGATTAGTTTTTAAAGTAGAGCACCGGATCAGCGTTCAGTTCTAATCCACTCGTCCCTGTATTTGGAGGATATGGCACCCAAACTAAAATGCAAAGTTGTTTTCCTTTGGCACGCTCAAATCAGAAAGTTGAAACGCGCTTTAATCCACTGGAAAGCGCGCTGGATGAATTCCACAGACAAATAAAACAGACAGGTTGGAAAGTTATTTGTTGCGTTAGTGCCCAAAGAAAAAAAAAAAGGAAAACGGCACGGACTCGACTGTGTCTCCGTCTAGCCTTCAGCTGTCGGAGGGGATCGACTGAACTGGCTCGCTTCAACGAGTCCCTACACAGGAAATGACGCAGCTTATGTGGTGCGCGTAAGTTGCTTAGTAACCAACAACACGCGAGTCATGCCGGGCGCGCGCAGGACTTGCAAATGACCAATTGCTTATTTTAAGATCAGTGTTTTACACTGCATTCAGAGCAGCGCTATGACAGGTATGAAAGCGAGGCTGTGAGGATGCTTAAAATGTACCTAAAATGCACCTAAAATGTACTTATTAGCACCTAAAATGTACATATTAACACCTAAAATGTACATATTAGCACCTAAATTTACAAATTAGCACCTAAAATGTACATATTAGCACCTAAATTTACAAATTAGCACCTAAAATGTACAAATTAGCACCTGAAATGTACATATTAGGACCTAAAATGAACAAATTAGCACCTAAAATGTACATAGGCCTATTATTAGCACCTAAAATAGACAAAAGTTTACTTTAAACAGGTACAGCCCCAGTGACAGCTTTTGTACCTTTTTTCTGAGAGTGTACTGTCTGTTTTTTATTTTTATGTCTACTGAAATTTCTTGGAAAGATATTTTTGCAGTGTTTTGTCAGCCAAAAAAATCCCAAAACACAAAAAGATGTGGCCATGTCCCCTGTCCATAGCCTCGCTTTCATTCCTAAAAAATATGATCTAGCTGCAGTGAATAAGGTTTTTATCATTGAGACATTTTTGTATTAATATTTTGATATTATTTTAATTTTAGTCTTTTTTGTGTACATTTATATGTTTTCTTATAGATTATTCATTTGGATTAGTTTAATTTTATTTAGTTTTATTTGGCAATGTCTGATAAAATGTCTATTTTTGTTTCAGTTTAATTTAGTAAATTAAGTTTAACTAAATGAAAACGTTGAAATAAAATAGGCTAAGTTTTTCAATACTTTAATACTTTTTATGGCTTCAGTTAACTATAATAATCCTGTTTAAGAGTCCTTTGAAAGCAAACTATCATTATCCCTGGACAGCATAAACATAAATAGCTTCTTACTCAAAGATCATTAAAATCCTAAATAGACAATAAATAGCATTGTTGTAACTCCATCAGAAATGCAAAATGCAAAAAAAAAAAAAAAAAATCCAATTTCAAATTTGCAGTGATTGTTGATTAGAATTTGATGATGCAATCAACTAATTCAACCAGAGAAACATGTTAAGTTAAAGAAAAAACACATAACCTGCTAGTTAATCAAGAAACCAGGTTAATACTCTAAAGTGTATAAGGCCCTCAAGGGTTTTAGATGCATCCCTCAATCATGTTTTACCCCTCTATAAACATTTACAGCTCTGACCACATTAGTACGGTTCACATTACGGGAGTACACCATAGAAAGCCTTTAAATCAAAACCTTTTACAGCATTTCAAAACTGATCCCATAAAGCAGAATGCTGAAATCCTGCCACAAATCTGAGTCAGCATTTCACACATAAAAAGCCGAATGGGTTTCTGGCCGATGGTGTCGATGTTACGGCACGTCAAGAGATGACAGCTGGCTATACCCTCTCAGAATCGTTGGCCACATGATTCTCGCTCTAATCAGTTCCCAATCCATCTGTATTTTCTCCGAGCTTAGCAACACACACAGGTCAGAGAGGGAGTACCGGAGTGACAGTGAGTGATTGATGGGCGTAATTAATGCAGTTATTGAGGATAAGCGACAAGATGGCCAGGTAAACACGATTATTCTGCCGTGCCTCCGATATGGACATAGTCAGAGCAACAATGAGCTGAATTCCAGCCTGGTAGGCAAGGGAAGAAAGATCTAATTAACTCTCCCTATCCTCCCGCCTGCATCAGCACTGCTAACGACTTTGTCTATCTGTTTGATTTTCAATTTATAGTGCCGACTACAGCACCTTATAGCACATGCCAAAGCTGAAAAATGTCCTGAGGAATAAAGGACAATACAACAACTCTATAGTGCACAAGAAAATGCACTGGTGATGATGGGAATTTGTTTATGTTGTCGAACTATAGGGAGTTTTGTCTCTGTGCCGGCTGACTGTATTAATCTCTGTTTTGAGAAAAAGCAGCTAAGTACGTTATGTAATAGGCTTTGGAAAGAGTGACTCAGAGCAAGGTACCGGTGAAGAGCGTGAATGGATTCGGTCTTTCTCCGACACAGACACTATTCAAGATCCCAGAGAGTCAGATTTTTTTTTTTAAATGTGTTAATGCCTAATGAACGACTGCATTTTCATGTCGTTCTTGATGAAGTGGATAAAGGGATTTACCCCAGTCACCATTTTCTCTACTCAGCCCAATTTATTTATCAATTTATCAGCCACTTAGCCATAAAACTAAGTGGTTTATATGACAACGATGTACTACAAAAGAAGTTTTTCCTTTGTGTATAGACGACAACGTTGTCTAAACATTCACATGGATCTGTGAAAATGACTAAAAATGTTGTATAATTCACGCCAGGCCAGTAGTTTGCGATATCACTTTGTAAAGTAACTCTACACACCTATAGATTGAACGCGTAATAGACATGCGCATGACATCATCGTTTTCACAAATTTCTGTTTTTGTAGTTTTCTGAGAGGCGACGAACAACTTGCACTTTGTACCCAAAGGCTGCATATTAGTACCTTAGTAGTACATAATAGCACCTAAAATGTACATATTAGCACCTATGTACATATTAACACCTAAAATGTGCATATTAGTAGGCCTACCTAAAATGTACATATTAGCACCTAAAATGTACATATTAACACCTAAAACGTACATATTAACACCTAAAACGTACATATTAACACCTAAAATGTACATATTAGCACCTAAAATGTACATATTAACACATACATGTACATATTAACACCTAAAATGTACATATTAACATCTAACATGTACATATTAACACCTAAAATGTACATATTAGCACCTAAAATGTACATATTAACACCTAAAATGTACATATTAGCACCTAAAATGTACATATCAACATTAAAATGTACATATTAGCACCTAAAATGTACATATCAACATTTAAAATGTACATATTAGCACATAAAATGTACATATTAACACCTGAAATGTACACATTACCACCTAAAATGTACATATCAACACTTAAAATGTACATATCAACACTTAAAATGTACATATTAGCACCTAAAATGTACATAACACTTAAAATGTACATATTAGCACCTAAAATGTACATATTAACACCTAAAATGTACATATCAACACTTAAAATGTACATACTAGCACCTAAAATGTACATATTAACACCTAAAATGTACATATTAGCACCTAAAACAGTGTTGTGTAAATGGTCCCTTAGTTGATAACCCAATAATAAGCCAACAGGAACCATTGAATTTAATACCAAATGAGAGCCTTAAATGGCAGGTCTAAAAATAGGGAAGCGTTTGAGATAAGAACTTTGAGATTAGTTTGTTGTAAATATATCTGTGATATGAAGCTTCCCAGCAAGCAATTTTGCGTTTAAAAGACGTCTAGCTGTCCAAACAGACTTGATGTCTAGGCTAAAACAAGTCAAAATGTAGGCTGTTTAGTGGAAATTTTATCATAGCCCAAGAATAGACCATCTAGATTCTAGAACATGAACATATCAAAGAAATAAAACCTTGCAATCACTGTTGTTTTTGCTTAGCCTAGATGATGGAAAAATCATACATCTCGCAAGTTATTTAGGCAATGTAACCAAGTTGAAGGTTATTTTGGCTAGAAGTGTGTTACTCATAGCTGGACGATATCGGGTCTATTAATCTAGACGGTAAAGTGACAGCTATTGTTTACTAGTTCTCCATATGGATTTCATTTGTCTGCCAGTCTCCCACTTGCTCAAGCTGCTCAGGTAATGTCATTGAATTACAAGGGCAATTTGCCTCCAGTGGCAGATCTTGGAAACCGGTGGGGTCGGAGAAGGAAAGTGAAAGTCCCAGCTTTTATTGCTAACGTAAATTAGTCCGCATTCCTTGGCCTTATAGAGAGATGGATGGGTTCAATTAACTGATCTATTTCTTTGGCACAGTTTCTCATTTTCAACTGTAATATATTTGTCCTCTAGGCAGTTTAGGATAAACGAGGTGCTTTCTGATATAAAGTGTTAAAAGTCAATATCTTAATATACTGCATGAGTACAGTACAATTCATTTGAGAGGTGTAGATTAAAAAGTGTATATTGTGCAGTGCGTCCACACAAATCCTATTTTTGACCAGGATATTTATCAGTATCAAAATCTAAAAATTCAAAATTCATAAATACGACTTCAAAGAATGCATGTGCATTTGTATAATTCCATTTAAGTTTATGTTAAATTTGGAATGGTTTATGCTTTGAATAAATAAAAATAAAATAATAAATAAAAAATTATTTTTTTTATAAGTCATAGATGAGTGAACATCTATAATGGTGAACGGAAATTGTAATATTTGTCTTTTCATTTGCTCCATAAATTATTGTTCAATAAATTATTGAATTATTCAATTGTTCAATGAATTATTTAATTTCATCATCACAATCTGTGAAAAGGGTCCAACATTGTTCAATAAATTATTTAATTGTTCAATTATTCAATAAATTATTTAATTTCATCATCACAATCTGTGAAAATGGTCCAACATTCTTTTATTCTTAATTTTTTTTAATAAATATAATAAATAATAAATTAAAGAAAGATAATAAGTTTACAAATAAAAACATTTTATTTTTAAAATAAAAATAATGCAGTAAGTCCTGCCTTAACCAGCAGTCTGACAGCTTGTGCATTTATCATTTTGAACTGTACTCAGAGTGCCCTGCAGTATTTTTCTTAACATTATATTCATGACTGTTTATTTTATCACCCCTTACATTTATTGTTCATTATTTACTGTGGCGTCTGGAGTGTCCTGCCACTGTTCCCAGCTGCTAGAATCATTCACTTTGTTATATGTTGCACCTTGACTACATTATATTTCATTGTCATCAATTTCTTATTCATCCATTTTCTTTCCATGTCCTGACATGGAGCTTCAGGAAAATGCTCAGTCCATAACAAAATAAAACAAAACAAACAACAGCATACTCCCATTTAATATTATGAATGCTCCTATTTTCAACAAACACAAAGCTTTCATTTCATCTCGCCTTGAAGTGAATCCTTGGGAAGCAATTTCACATTATTGGTCATATATAATATGCCATGAAGACTCTTCATTTGTATCGATCTAACAGTTTGTGGTAACAAACACCATTAAAGCTTTAATGACAAGAATTGATTGCTTCTTCTGTCTTCCCTTTTGTTCAGAAAAACTGTAATCAGCTCTCTTTGATGGCTTTAAACCACCACCATATTGTGGGACAAACATTATCGCTTTGTAATACAAATGATCAGCATCGCAAAAATGGCAGATCTCCAACACCATGTCCTCAGTGGAGGGTTATATGGGAACTCTGCATTTCTAATTCTCAGTAGGAAAAAGCAATTTACAGCAAAAACAGCCAAATGGTGAAGGATGACTTTTCCACCCTCCTTAACAGCCATCCAACATCCACATTTTTTTGCACACCCTTGACCTTTATTCCCTTGTTCTGACTGTCTGTACCATTTCTTTCCCCATTAAACTGAGTGGCACATCTCCCAAAGGGCATTAAGGCTTTTAAACATCAAGTTACAGCAAGTAGAATCACAAATCCAGGTCTGCGGCATCAATGACCAATGACAATATCACTGATACGAATGGAACGGCAATCTGCATTGCTTTAAAGGAGTAGTTCACTTTAAAAAAAAAAAAACTTTTGCTGATAATTTACTCACCCCCATGTCATCCAAGATGTCCACGTCTTTCTTTCTTCAGTTAAAAAGAAATTAAGGTTTTTGATGAAAACATTCCAGGATTTTCTCCATATAATGGACTTCATTGGGGACCGAACGGTTCAAGGTCCAAATGAGAGTTTCTGTGCAGCTTCAAAGGGCTTTAAACGACACCAGACGACGAATAAGGGTCTTGTCTAGGATGCTTCGAGTCATGAGACTTGAACAGAGTTTGAACAGGAGAATCACGAGCGCTCATCACAGAACAGAGCAAGGCAAGCATTTTTGCTTATAAAACTTAGACTTTGTTATGTATTTTTTAAATGACCGATTGTTTCGCTAGATAAGACCCTTATTCATAGTCTGGTGTCATTTAAAGCCCTTTGAAGCTGCACTGAAACTCTGATTTGGACCTTGAACCGTTTGGTTCCCATTGAAGTCCATGTCTTTCTTTCTTCAATCGAAAAGAAATTAAAGTTTTTGATGAAAACATTCCAGGATTTTCTCCATATAATGCACATCTTGGATGACATGGGGGTGAGTAAATTATCACAAAAAAAAAAAAAAAAAAAAAAAAAAAAAATTCTCTACTACTCTACTACTCCTTTAACTTTAATTTGAATCCACCCAGATCAGCCATGTCTTTTTATTTTATTTTGTGGGTGCATGTTAAGCACATACCCAGCCATTTCCACTGTCTCTGTTTCCAGTGCGTATCATATGGAAATGTCAGCAAGGACCAGAACCTTTAAGTTCTTCAGCGGCGCTCCATTAGCGTGGGTTGGACTTTCGTACGTACAGTATACATATGTCAAGAGCCAATGTATTTATACATGCCCATTGTTATTTACAGCTGCAGGGCCGCTGCCTGCACTTATGAATCTTTACCGTCCCAGCCCCTGGCTCTCAGGCAAACAGCTTTCAGCTGTACTCAACCTCTCCCTTTTGGTTTTTAAGTGACCTTTGCTTTGCCCCCTTTTAATAAGCAGTCACTGAAATAGCAAATAGGCAAGATGCTTAATTTGGAACTTGCCTCATGGCATGAAATTAATAGGGACAAGGAAACAACTTGTTGGAATGTAGTAACAACACGTATTAAGGCTTTTTGTTATGCAGAAGGTAACAAATAATGAGTCCCGTGTGGAAATTAGATCACTTTGCAATCAGGCAAGCATGCACTCAAAGCTCCATATGCACATTTAGCAAGTGGAGGTCTGTGGAGGTATGTCTCAACAGCCCCTTGAAAAACAAGTGAATATGTGTGAATGTGGCACATTCATGTAATTTTATTTTTAACATCATGAAAATGTGCTTTCAACATACTTATCATGCTAATCGGGCTCGAGGGACTGGAAATGTAACAACTAAAACAATAAAAAAATATTATTATCAATCAATATTGATAATAATTGATTGATAAAAATAACTCTCCCTCCTTCCTCAACTCTAACAGCTGACAACTTTGCCAGATGCTTCACTGTAAAAATGAGTAATTAATCAAATTAATTCCTTAAAAGTTAACCATTTAAAATGAGTAAAAAAAAAAAGTGTGCATTTAAGTCACCATTATGGTGATTGGTGTTGAATGATGGTTTTCTCCGTCAGTGATTCTGCTTGTTAACATCAGGTGTCTCTAATGTTGGCAATTTAAAATAAAGAGTTCTTAATTAATCTTTGACATCTGTCTGTTTTTCAGATATTTTTGTTTAATTTTTTGGTGTAAACTTTACTCATTTTAAATGGTTAACTTTTAAGGAATAATTTGATTACTTATTACTCAATTCTAATTTGTTTGGTTTAATTAATAATATTGTTTGTAATCTGTTGCCACAATTTTATTGATTAGACAAAGCATATTCATTCAACAAACATCAGCGGCCTATTCTCTACATCACAAACTGACAAACACTTCATGACAGCAATCACACACATTCTCCACTCCTTCTCTCCACTCCCAGAGGCAGAAGTCTCCAAACTTTCCAATCACCCTACTAACAGTCCACTTGATCCTATCCCCGCTCATCCCCTTCAAGCCATTTCTTCTTCATCTGGTATCTTTCCCACAGCATTTAAGGAGGCTCGAATAACCCCACTGCTTTCGAAACCCACTCTAAATCCAGCACTTTTAGAAAACTACCTACCTCTATCCCTTCTTCCATTCATTTCCAAGACGAGTCGTGTTCAACCAAGTCTACCTTTCTCACAGAACAACCTCCTGACCTGGAAAACAACCAGTCTGGCTTTAAAAGCGGCCACTCAACCGAGACTGCTTTGCTCTCGGTTATTGGAGCTCCGAGACTGGCAAGAGTAGCTTCCAAATCATCAGTGCTCATCTTGCTTGATCAGTCTGCTGCTTTTAACAGGGTTAACCACCAGATTCTCCCGTCAACCCTCATGACAAATCAACTGCACTTCAGTGGTTCAAGTTTTCAGGGTCCTTCAGTGTGTCTTGGAGGGGAGTGCCTCATGGCTCAGTGCTTGGACCACTTCTCTTCTCCATAAACATGACATCTCTAGGATCTGTCATGCAGAAACAAGGCATTTCCTGTCACTTCTATGCTGATGACACACAATTCTACCTCTCATTCCAGCCAGATGATCCGACAGTATAGCTGCTCGCATCCCAGTGTGCCTGACAAAACCAATTTTAGACAGGATGAAGGACCACTACCGATAACTCAACCTTGCAAAGATAGACTGCTTGTGATCTCGACCTACCTAACACTTCATCACAGCCTCTCCATTCAGCTAGGTTCATCATCCATAACTCCTTCCAGGACAGCCAGGGACCTTGATAATCTGAGATCCCCTGCATGTAAGAATAAAATCATCAGAAAAAAAAAAAAAAGATACAATCTTTTATTTTGACAAGGTACTGTGGGTTGATCAATATTAATTTACACATCAGCCTTCGCCTGCATAGGCTAAAATTCTCCAGAGTGTGTGACTATTTGCAAACACAGTAAAAGGCTAAATTCTTGATATTTGGAGCAAAAGTGCAAAACATCTTTCAAATATCTTTTCATTTAATCAACTGCTGAATTTATGAAGTCCAAATGGCTTATTTTTTTATCAGCAAGACAGTTATAGCCAAACAAGGTGCACCGAGCATACTGATGCTGCTCTTTGTATTGTCTGAGCCGCTCTAATCTGATGCTGAACTTCCCTTTTATTATGGATGTCATTCCGCATCACCTGTCTTTGTTTTATGGGTCTGGCTGGGGCTCTTTCAAAGAGAGAATGGCGTGGGCGTTCCACGCACCTGTCAGCTCATTTTAGTGCGCAGCGCGCGCTCGACTGAGAGCTGCTGTGTTTATCCTTAGCTTATAATTGTCAGTCCGACAGGCCGTCCCTGCGGAGCTGCTGTCAGACCACGGGGACGGTGTGTGACGCATACAGCCCACGCGCTAAAGGCCCTCTTCAGACAAACCTAGTTAATCTGTACCTGCACGAGGAGGAAGCAGTCAGAGCTTCACGTCATGAGTGAACTTTTTTTTTTTTTAAATAATTTCCACCTCCTTATATGGAAGGAACTTTTCTCTCTGTCGATTCTAATTCTACCCTGCCTTCCATTTACCTTGAAATCTGAAAGCCCCTCATCCCTCTGTCTGGAAGATTCACATTTCAGTATCCGAAACCCTTTTAGTCTCATGTGATGAGTCCTAGTTCCCAGTAATGCTCACTCCCAGAAGGACATCAAAATTGATCAGCTTTATCCTCCTCTTTAATCGTTCCTGACAGTTTAGTAGAGAGCGGAAATCTTTTAATTAATATAAATACTTCTGAACTCATGGTAATGTATTTTGAGTCATAATGTATGTCGAAGACACTTAACAGTTTTTGTATAATGTACCTAAAATGGGTCAGACTGTAGAAGAAACTTTTTTTTTTTTTTTACCTGTCTGCAACCTTTAGAATCACACTGTTACACCTGATTCCATTGATCAATCATGCAGACTCTGCAAATCACAGACCTCTTGCTCACATAGAACAACTTATATACGCTGTAAACTTTACTTCCAGGCGACCAATCCATCTACTCCTCCCCTGACGTTTAAAAAGGATCCTTCAAAGTTCAGCTCTTTAGCCCAGGGCTTTTAGCCAGTTTTGCAAGCTCTCATTAATGCATCCCTAGTGTTCACCTTCAGCTCCACACGGATTTCCCAACACACAAGCCAGCTGGAATACAGGCGGAATTTTGTGTTTACCCCCTAACCACGCCCTAGGGTCTGTTTAACACCATCTTGTTAGACCCAAACAGCTTTAAAACTCTGAAACTGAGAATTTATCACTTTAATGAGTGCATTTATCTGTCACTATTAAGGAACAGATCATTAAAATGCCCAAAAATTCCCTTTACCATTGAAGCGTCTGTGTTTCATTTAAATGATAGTCAGATTCTGGGAAAAAAAAAAAAATCCCATTCATGTCTCCATAGAGAAATTGATCATTAATATAAATAAATATCTGTTGGTTTGATTTATGATTAAACAAAAACAATTTATGATAAATTGTGTAATATCATAAAGGTGCAAAATAAAACAAATTATATATATATATATATATATATATATATATAGGGGAGAGCGGGGCATAACCTAACGCATTTTGGTTTTGGCTCAATTAATTAAAAAATAATTAGGTTAGATTAATATTTCTTTTACACAAGCAACACACTGAAAGTGACAGAAGTGCAAATGTTACAACTTACCCCAAATGCGGGGTTAATTGTAACAGACAGAGGGGTTAGTTGTAACACTTGTGTGCAACACACATACTATTCAGTACTATTTTATTTGTATAGTTTGATATCGTTTGTGCATCTGTATAGACAGAAATCCACACATCCATCCCTCATCCAAACATCCTTCTATTGTGGATCAATATCATAGATAGAGACATAGAAAAGGGCTGCACAATTTTGCGATAAATAATAATAAATAAAATTATAAAATATTTTAATTGCAATTAAATTAGATTTGTGTGTGGCAGCTGCATGTACAATTATTATTATTAATACTAATAACAGTCATAATAATACAAATGAGCTTAAAATAAAAATGTAAAGGGTTTATTGCATTAAAAACAGGCCATATTTTTAATAAATAAACAAGTTATCATTCATAGTACACTAAATTTTAAACATTTTAAATTCCAACATTGTTTGTGAAAGTCCAACAAAGTTAAATGTATACTCAAACCTGAAAAGTTGTGTGGCTCCGTTTTCATTTGATTAACATTGTACACTTGGCGGCTTAGTTGTAACACTGTGTTAGAACTAACCCCGCTGTGTATTACATTTTTTAAGCCTAGCTAACAGTTGCTAACAGACATGTTTCAAAACGGTGCTATGTTTGAGCCAACAAGACTGTGATTAAGGCAATATAAAGTTAGATTTGGAAACGTATACACCCAACTCAGAAACCGAAAAAAAAAACCTATGATGAAACTGGGAAAATATAATGTGACAAAATAAATCAAGAGACACGAATAGATAAAAATGTGCGTAATTTATCAAGCTTTATTTTTGTTTGTGATCAGTTCAGTGACATTAACTGCAAATCAAGCAAACAAAAACAAAACAAGCTGGTTTAAATCCAGTGAAAATATTGAATAAAATGTACAAAATTGTCACGATAAAAGAAGTAACAAACACAACCATAATAGACGTTAACTGTGTTAGAAAAAAAAGAAGAGAAGGACCAATTAAAGTTCCAGCATCTGATCTTAAGACAAATGTCATATTCCTTTAATTTGGTGCCCTTTTCTCAGTGGAGCCAACAGAGGCCATGATGTTTGAAGAGGCAGGAACAGTCCTGATGGGACGAGAAGCAATTATACAGCGCTTTCTTAACGCTCGAGAGGTAGCGGCCGCGGGCCTGTCACACTTCATCGTCATGCAGAAAATTGGCCATGCTCGAGCTGTAAACTCTGGGAACAAATTTAACCGTATCAGGTCAGGTATTCCTCAGGTATGGTTCAGCTATGGCCAAACAAGTGGATAAGCTTGAGTTGTAGTTCTCGAAATCTGCTCTGGGATATAGAACACAGGCCCTCTCAACCAAATGTTTGAGTTCAACTTCGATTTTTTTAAAATACATTCATTGAACATGAAGTAGGAAACTGGCCTGGCTAATCAACTAGACAAGTTAAATAATACAGTCATGTCCATTATCCACCTCAGTAATAGCCTATGTTTTTTCCAGACCAAGGCAGACCAAGGACCAAAAATAAAGAATCCAATACCAACTCCTTATCAAGGATATTACTCATTTCAGAAACTATCTTGGCCCAATATATTTTAACTGATTGCATGACCAAAGACAGTTTATTAACTTCAAACTTTAACCATAAATCTTGAATTTAGAACTATATTTAATGTCAGAATGATAATTGATGTAAAAGAATTGCACAATACATTTCTAAGTCTGGAAGAGTAAAACAATGTAGTCATAATAATAATAATCACTTTTTCAGTTTTTAATCAGTGTCCTTTTCTACAAAATATCCTTAAAACAAGGTCATTTTAACTGAGAGAGACGCCCTGCGCATCGAGGGCACATTCACGAGCACTCTTCTGAACCTAAAATGACAAAGGGGAAACCCTACTATCACAATTACATCAAGTTAGTTTCTGTTTATGGACTTTTAGTTTGTTATTTTCAGTCACATCACATGTGTTTTTTAGTTTTATGAAGCGATGTGAGGGCTTTGTGATTTTCAGACCTTTTCATGCTCAAACAGCAACATTACACATATGTAAAAAAGACAAAAATTCTGATTAAGAACTGGACACAAAGACATTACCTATAGTTCTCCAAATGCTAAAGCTCTCAGATGGCAGAAAGCGATCTACAGTAAACTAGCTCTGGGTAGTAGTGTGTTCAAGCCTTATTATAAATGCATGACCAAACACGACATTGGCAGTCTGCAGTCAGGTCGGAGGTGCAGGACTCACATCGGCAAGCAAGAAAGTGCATGACTGAAAACCCTCATACAGGTCAGCAACAAAAATAGTTCACAGCGGAAATTGGATATTCTCAAAGTGCGGTTTCTGCCTTGGTTGAGACGGGCATCCGAGTGGGATCAGAGATAAAGTGCGCTTGGCTGAACTACATATCTGAGTGGATTTCAGGCGCTGTATTGGTTGCATTGATTTTATGTACTGACAAACCTCTGCATTTGTTAAAAAGAACAGATAACTTCTGCTGGATGGTTTTATTTGGTTGTGTTTTTAATTTAGGAATAGTTACTAGATACACAGAAAGTTGACTTTCTATATTTTTTTCTTATTTTCCAGTGAAACAAAAATATCTAATCATCCTACTTGAACAAAAAACAAAAATGTCTCACACGAGAAGCAAAATTAAAAAAAAAAAATATATATATGATATAAAATATATTTTGGATTAAAAATTGACAAATTCTGTGTTTTGCCTGTTTTAAACATAAACGTCACTAAATTTTGTTCGATTTAATAGGGTAATAAAAATAAACTTACCTCAAGAAAATGAAGAAAAGAACGGTCTTATCGTTTAGATATTTTCACTGGAACACAAGACAAAATACTGGAATAAGAAAATGATTTGTGTAATGTAGCAAAGCAAGTTTTTCAAACAGTATTTACAAGAACAACTTTTACAATATTAATTTCCACTTCCAGAGAGACCATTTTACAGGGTAGCATTTTTTCCCATAGATTTTAAATTATGAATATGTAAAAATCATAATTTGATTAGCATAAAAAGTATGCATAAAATTAATAACATGAAAAAAATGCATAATCACACTAGGCTAGGCAGAGTTCCTTTTTTGTTAAGAAATTGTAGAAATATACATTCTATAATAAATCTTAAAGGTGGCACTTTGCAATTGCATGTGATCAATCTAAAAAAAAAAAATCATTCAATTCAACCCCAAATAATAATAATTTGAATAGTGAAAGAAAGTAAAGCCTAGCCCTAGATGAATTTCAAACAAATGAACAATTTTACAAAAAAAAAAATAATAATAATTTACTTGGTCTACTTTTCTATCCATTTCATTTTTACACTATACAAACGTGACCTGCTTGTATCTTACAACATACATATAATACACCTTCACCATTATGCAATACGGCTCAGCTATGCTGGATATTAATACAACTAACATAACCTGACCTTCACAAACCCTCATCAGATCTGTGTCCACTCTGGGATCCTTCATTTAACATTGGCTGGCGAGCACAAACGGTAATCACAAACCGCTGATTGCAGCAGAGAGACGGGGGAAGCAATCAGGGAGAAATCTCTCATTATCATGCGATCACTCTGTATTCTGTAAATCCAAAGGCACAAGCGATGCAGATTTTTACGTTGTATCACTAGAGGCAGCAAGAGGATTGTGACACGGAACAGACATATTGTAATGCAAATGTCAATCACCCTGAAAATGGATTGTTTCAGATGCAGGATTATTTGACAGCCTGACCGTTTTGATTGGATAACTGCTGTTTGACAAAAGACACCAGGCGCAAATAAAGTCAACAAGCGATACGAGAGAGAAATTATAGAAGCTTGTTTCCACCACAAAAATTATAAAGGTAATTGTGATTTTTTTATTCTCAGAATTGCGTGAAAAAATAAGTCAGACGTCAGAATTGCGAGATATAAACTTGCTATTTGCGAGTTTATATCATGCAATTCTGACAAACACTGAAATGCAAGATGTAAACTTGTACCTGTGAGAAAATAAAAGTACGAAATGAGATTGAGTTGCAATTATCATTTAAATTATTATTCTGTTGTGGAAAAAATCTTCCATAAGAAACAGCCTACTGCTGCAACTGCAAAAATACTTTTTGTAAGAACTATGAGATATAAAAAAAAAATTACCTTTTTAGAATTTAGAATTCTTCTCGCAATTGTGCATCATGGTCCAATTCTGAGAAAAAAAGTCAGCTCACGATTTTGACGTTTTCTCGCAATTGCGAGTTTAAATCCTGCAGTTCTGAGGAAACAAAATTAGAGATATAAATTCAAAATTGCAAGAAAAAATAAGTAGCCTACAGCTGAAAATTAAATCCTATAAATATCCTTGAAATTTTTTTTAAAATAACCTTCAATATTATTATTCTTATTATCCAGTAGTGGAAAAACATTACATAAGTATTAGAAAATATAAAAGGACCTAAATGAAGAATTTATCATAAGACAGCTCACCTAAAAATGAAACTTCTGTGATCGTCGAGTCATCCTCGTGTTATTCCAAACCTGTACAACCTTCTTTCTCGGACCACAAAAGGAGGAATCAATTCAGAACTGACCAAGAAGAAAGAATGTAATTCGGGTTTGGAATGGAACGACATGAGGGTGAATTTATGATGACGTTTTCATTTTATTGTTGGGTAAGTGATTCATTCAACTGTTTCCAACCTGTCTACAATAATCTAGCATATTGAAACAGATGGCAGTGTGTGGATAGAGATTATGACTGCACTCTAATATGACAAAGACAATTTTGTAGCTTTAATATCAAAAGTAATCTTGACTGTTGATGAGAATCAGTTAATCCTTCAAGCAATGTTTTCAAGTAGCAATGCTGTGAAATTTGAATTAATGGTAACACTTTACAATAAGGTCTCATTGGTTCACTTTAGCGATGAACTAATTATGAGCAATATATTATTACAGCATTTCTGAACTTTTATAAATGTTAGTAAAAGTGCAATTGATCATTGTTTAGTAATGCTAGTTCATAATGCATTAACTAATGTAAACAGATTTTAAAAGGTGTTTTAGTAAATGTAGATGAACAAATGCTGCAGAAGTTTTGTTCATGGTTTGGTTATGTGAACTAATGCATGAAATAATGTACAGTAAACATTTGAAAACTTATTGTAAAGTGTTACCGAATAAATAAATGAACATATATACACTTTGGATCACGTTTTAGCTAAATGTTGCATCCAGTGCCATGCAACCGCTGCTAAAATGTGTAGATAATAGCGTAAATCAGCAGTGTATAACACAAGCAGGGCTTCGGGCAACATCCGCTACATCAAATCATTAGTGTTTACTGAAGTACGCTCACTTAAGTCAACATAAATAACAGAAAAATACAAACAATCCCACAGGGCTCCCAAATAAATCTCAAGATGATCTGTAAAGTACTCAATATATTCACTAATGCACCCTGACTCGCACAAAAAAAGAAACATTTAGAAATTGACACTCAGTTTCCTTCTGTATCAGCCAGCAAAAATAAAGGTGATGCACTCCCATCAAGAGCCTCCTTCTATAGACATAGAAATAACAACGTTAACAAAAAAAGAAGTCTTCATTTTACAAAGTGCTTGGCATTTTTCACAGTGTGTGATTTCAGCAGTCTGCCTTGTGATTTACGGAGCTCTGACACTAATGTTTCTGTCCCAAATATGGAAGATGAGACATCTAAAAATTGTGGCAGCTGCATGGGCTTGTCCAACACTTTGCAGTGTGCTCAAAGGTAAGTGAAGTCTTGTAAAGGAGGAAACTATATTTGAGATGTTTCATCACCCATAATGAGTAACACAGTTCTTCTGGGTGAGGAAATAGTCTCACCGCATTTTGAATAAAGCTCAAGTGTACAGTTAAAGGTCAATGCATAACCTGCTACCTCAGTGTAGAGCAGAAACATTCCTGCCGAGCAGCTCTGAGGGGTCACTTTCCTGTGAAGCCTGCATCATTTCCTGTTGAAACCCTCACGAGGCAGAGGGCCATATGGGAAGTGGATGGGCCTCAGTGTTGAACACGTACTTATCCAGACTGAGCAGCTCGGTGTCGTCAGAGAATAGGAGGAAGAGATACTTCAGCGTCTCGCCCAGGAAGAAGCTCTCCATCTTATCTCTGGGTGCTGGGTTCAACGGGTCACGGACGTTACCTATGGAGGTGTAGCCTCCGCTGGGGACCTGAGACAGAAATCGAGTAAAGAAATTAAGTTTCTTTATTTATTATTGGCACAGCTAGCACACTGTTCAATGGGCAGTGAAAATGCTTCCAGCCGAGACAGATAAATGAAATATATTAAAATTCTATACTATTTTTGTGTTAAAAAACAAAACAAAAAACACACACCCACTAAAAGATAGAATCAAGCATCTTAAAAGCTACAAGTGAATTTTGGCATAAAATGTGGGGACAAATTATTTTGAGAATTGCTCAAGGTTACATTTAACAGTGTTATTAATTTATTAAGACATTTTAGAGATTAACGTTAAAGGGATCCTCCACTTTTTTTGGAAATAGACTCATTTTACAACACCCTCAGAGTTAAACAGTTGAGTTTTACCATTTTTGAATCCATTCAGCCGATTTTCTGATATTTAGAAGAATATCAGTAACCAGACAGTTTTTGGTCACATTGACTTACATAGTAGGAAAAAAAATATACTATGGAAGTCAATGAGACCAGAAACTGTCTGGTTACTGATATTCTTCTAAATATCAGACAATCGGCTGAATACTTTCGAAAACCGTTCAACTGTTTAACTCTGGGGGAGTGGTAAAATGAGCCTATTTCCAAAAAAAGTGGAGTATTCCTTTAACGTTAAGTCTTTAAGTGAACATTAGATGATGGAAAATGTAATTTAAGTGTGAAAACAGAAATATATAGTACAATCTTGGATCTTCTCTAATATGGACTGATTCTGATTTCTTCTATTTTTTTATTTTTTTTTACATTGGCTGATTTAATAAATCGTGAAAGAATGGTTGGGAGGGAGCATGAAGAATGATTTCCACACATTAATTGGCACCTCTAAGTCCAGACCTTAAATTCATTAAAAGTCTTCGGGATGTGCTGGAATAGACTTCACAGAGTGCTGGACTCTTGCATTGTCAATATAAGTTCTTGACTAAAATTTGAAGCACCTCTTGATCAAGATCTTGTATTGACAATTACTCTGTCTGGACTCAGATGCCAATTCATGTGTGGAAATGATTCTTCATGCTCTCTCCCAACCATTCTTTCACAGTTTGAGCCTGATGAATCTTGACATTGTCATCCTGCAAAATGGCCATGATGTGTTTTCCTACATGGATGTTTAAGAAATAAAAAGCTACACACTCCATTAATTAGGGTTAGAAGAACTGTTGCCAAACACATAACATACTACAAACATAATCATCACTGCAATAATGATCACATTCATAGACTCTTAAGCATTTGCCTATTTAAATCCAAACAGCGATTTTTTTGTGTGTGAGTATAAACATATAACAAATAGTTTTTTTAAATTACAATAAGAGAAGAAATATATTCTATTTATATAGAATAAAATATTTTCATTATATGTTTAGTCTCAAATTTTCGACCCAACAGTATATAACCTTTCTTGTAATGTAAGAAAAACTATCAAAATTTACCAAAAGATGGAAAAAAATCTATGACCTCTTGTCATGTAAAATTCCTGCAAGTGTCACTCACTCTGGTGTGCTTGTTGAAACTTTGCAGGATGTCCCAGCCCCAGTCCCTGTATTTGCTGTCATTGGTGAATCTGTACATGTAGAACAGACTCTCTACTGTCTCTGGTCTCAGCAAGTTGTGTCTGTCAGCAGGCTGCACATACATATTGAAGAGAGAAAACAAAATCTATTAATGTAAAATGGCACCAACTATTATAAAGGTCATCTCATCAGTGCTGAGCGCAGAAACTGTTTTACCATTTTATTCTTAGACAAAGCAGAGAAAGGGTATTATGCTTTTGTTCCAAAACCTGCATCAGCAGTTAAAGGTCTTGTCTCAAACCACCCAGGGAGTTTATTGTCAAAAATGAGTGGTGACAGTGCAGGTTAATGAACCTTCACATCGATGTCCCGTCCGCTTTGGTACTGCAGGTTAAAGTGAGCGATCTCTGGGCTCAGTCCCGTCTCCATCTGCGCATACATCTGATGGCACGTCTCCATCAACTGCAGAGCCAGGTCCATGTGATCAGCGGGCAGGCCGTTGTGAGCGCCGAGAGCCAGCGTGCCAGGAAGAAAACACACCAAATGATCCTGGATGAGACAGAGAGAGTGTTGTTGTGGAGAAAGAGGTTCATCCTATAATGCCAACTTTATCATATTTGAAGCACAAAATGACGTTTTATAAGAGTTTTATATTGTTAGTGATATTTTAAGATGAACAATGACTGAAACAACTTAGCTTGACTTGATTATCTATACAATTGTTTTTAGAAAAAGCATGATTAAATGTATCTAATATGATACACTGCTTTCGAGGAAAGTTTATTTGTACATCGTTCAATCATCGGTGTATTGCATTGCATTGTTTAGGAGCATACATGCTTGGAAAAACATACATTTTTATTTTTGGGTGAACTATCCCTTTAAGTATGACACTTGGCGGCTGAAATGAAGTCACGACTTTCTCACCATCTTGGGATTGAGACGGCCGTTGGACAGCTCCCCAACAAAGGTCAGTTTACTAGGAGAAGTCTGTCTCAAGAGATTCTTTTTGACACCTTCTACAGCCTGAAGATAGTCCTCCAGCAACCTGAAACGATATGCAAAAACCACACTATGCATTTGACGTGATTAAGTTCGCCCTCTAGAGACAAAAATAAGCTACTGCATCTTTTTGTACATTGAGAGCATCCCAGACTTCAGGCAGTCCTCATACGTGTCTCTGTGATGAATAAAATCAAACACAGAAAGTAAGGGCTCCGATCCAAGCCCATCAGTGTCTTAGCGAGATAACGGACAGGATTCAGAGGACATTTACATTTTTGACTAGCATATCCATCACCAACCTGGGACTTCATTTATAACCGTTGTAATTAATTAACCGTTGTACAATAAATTGGCATTTATAAAAACAAACTTGACGGGAAAAATTGCGAACCTGCACGCAAACTCCGACCAAACTCTTATACAAACTATTTGATCAGTGGAAAAGATGGAGAAAAACTTTCTCTGAAATTTATTTTACACTATTTGATTTATTTATTGAAAAACAATGGAAGGATATAGGCCACTAAACAAATAAAAATATATATAATAAATCTATAAATGTAATGTGACGGCACATCCGTATTTCATATTTTCCTAATGTCTTGTACCTGGTATCATGTGGATGAATAATCATATGGAAATGATATGCAGATGATGATATGCAAATTAAAACTAGGTGTTGTTATCTCCATAAATGGTTATTTCGGTGTGGAGACAAACGGGATGGAGACACAATCTTCCGCTGACTGGGATTTATAAAGTGAATTCAGCGCAGGTTCTGGAGTACGAATAGTTTTAGAAGTCTGAATATTTTTTTTTTGCATTCACCATTTTTGGCTTTCGGGCACACATACACTTTTATTAAGTATCTTACGCCCAGTTTTATAAATGAGGCCCCTGGTCTTTTTTGGATTTGATATTCCACACCAGACTGAGGCATATATCAAAACTCATTAACAGTCAGTGTCTACTGAACCCCAGTGAACACCTTTTTATTGAATTATTCAAAACCGAACCCAATGAAAAAAATACTAGCAGCAAGAAGCAAGTGTATAGCTGTGTCTGAAACCGCTCACTCGTTCACTCATTCACTAATCCCTATATAGTGTATGGCATTTGAGTGCACTATATCTGCAAGGAGTGAAGGAGATGAAGTGAGTGAATTCGGACGCTGACGTTTACACTGTGCGTCGGAGAGTTGGAGCTGTCGCAGAAAAGGCTTCGTCACGGGTACTGATAAAACTCCTTTTATCTTACATTACCTAGTTTATAAAATAATATTAATAACAATAACAATCATAATGACTTTATTTTGTAATTATACCTCCGTGCCAGCTTTGTAGTTTCATCGACTGAAATTGTACATTAACTCTCACGTTCACAGATGACGTGTCGTCAAACGCGCCCTCCGGCGACCGTTATTATGTTCAAAACGACGATTAACGGATATTTTTCAAATCCTCCACTGGATGTAATGTAATCTCTGGTTTAAACTTGCTCGCGCCGAACTTTCATGCGCGCTCAGTTCTCTCCGCATTGGATTGTGGGAAATAGGGCTTTAGCGAGTGTACATCGAATGTAAGCTGTGTCTGAAACCGCTCACTCGTTCACTCATTCACTAATCCCATATAGTGTATGGCATTTGAGTGCACTATATCTGCAAGGAGTGAAGGAGATGAAGTGAGTGAATTCGGACGCTGACGTTTACACTGTGCGTCGGAGAGTTGGAGCTGTCGCAGAAAAGGCTTCGTCACACATACTGATAAAACTCCTTTTATCTTACATTACCTACTTTATAAAATAATATTAACAACAATAACAATCATAATGACTTTATTTTGTAATTATACCTCCGTGCCAGCTTTGTAGTTTCATCGACTGAAATTGTACATTAACTCTCACGTTCACAGATGACGTGTCGTCGAGCGCCCTCCGGCGACCGTTATTATGTTCAAAACGACGATTAACGGACATTTTTCAAATCCTCCACTGGATGTAATGTAATCTCTGGTTTAAACTTGCTCGCGCCGAACTTTCATGCGCGCTCAGTTCTCTCCGCATTGGATTGTGGGAAATAGGGCTTCAGCGAGTGTACATCGAATGTACACTCGAATTCAGAGAGGATTGTGGGTAAAAGTAGTGAATGAATGTAGGGAATGATGTCGTTCACTCAGAATTCGGACACCACTACAAAATGGCCGACACCCGATATAGTGCACTATTTAGTGGATAGGGAGCGATTTCAGACACAGCTGTACACTCGAATTCAGAGAGGATTGTGGGTAAAAGTAGTGAATGAATGTAGGGAATGATGTCGTTCACTCAGAATTCGGACACCACTACAAAATGGCCGACACCCGATATAGTGCACTATTTAGTGGATAGGGAGCGATTTCAGACACAGCTTATGTGATGTCAACACAGCGGGAGTCTAACGAGACTCAGGTGTGAGCAGGGCATGACAATGATCCGGCAAGCTCAACAGAGACAGAATCGCACCAGCAGAGAGAACAGAAAGACAGAATAACATCCTGTCAAGTGCACAAAATGGCTGATGTCGCATTTCGCCAGAAGCAATGACACCTTGGCACTGTCCGTAATGGTGGTGGACATGTGCGAAACATGCCTATGACAGTATATTCCTATATCAGTCATCATGGTGATATGGTCTTGTGAGGGAATTTTTTTATTTTTTTTATTTTTTTTTTACAAATTTTATTGTCCGTCAGACAAAAAGTTTAAGTTCAACTAGTTAGAAACGTAACAGCACACCTCTCCTCAAAAAAGCTACACCATTTGAGGTATCATTTATGTTTAATTTATGTGTGAATACAAAAAGTCAATATTTATTTAAATGTTATGGTTGATAACTGAAAATGCCTCATATTACAATTCAATACTAATTTGTCTAAATAAATGAAATAAAACACTAAAAAATATAAACATTACAACGCATGAAATCAATCATTTTAAATGTAACAAGGGAATTTAATAGGTATCACGAATTTGCTAAAAGTTACATTTACAATTTGATTGCTTAGATTAATGAGCATTAATTGACAGAAGTGGTAATCTAAATGTAATTATATATATATATATATATATATATTAGGGCTGTGCAAAAATTAATTGCGATTAATCGCATCCAAAATAAAAGTCTGTGTTTACATAATATATTTGTGTGTGCTGTATATAATTATTTTGAATATATAAATACATACACATGCATTTATATATTTAAGAAAATGTGTTATATATAAAATATTTATATTTATATAATATAGAATTTAAGCACAAATAAGTCTTAAATATATACATGCATGCATAGGTATTTATTTATACAAAATAATTACAGTATATACAGCACACACAAATATATTATGTAAACACAGACATATATATATATATATATATATATATATATATATATGAAGAGTTCAGATGCGAAAGCCTCTAAACGCCATTTGAAATTTTCTTCTTTAATGATGATTTTTATCAAACTTGTATATTTAAGTTCAGTAATTTCACTTAAATGGCAATGAAGATTACCTATTAATTGTCATTTAAGTGAAATTACTGAACTTAAATATACAAGCTTGATAAAAATGGTCATTTTAGAGGCTTGGCAATGGTCATTTTCAAATGGCATTTAGAGGCTTTTGCATCTGAACTCTTCATATATATATATATATATATATATGAGCAATAGTGATTTTTGCTGGAATTACAGCTAAAATAATATTGCTTCATTATACCAACATACTATTTTTTTATGTTAAAATAGATTGAGCAACATTGTCTCCATCAATAGTATGATATTGACTATCCAATAGCTGCCAGGGTGAGCGTTAAGGAAGCCTATTTGAAAACAGGCTTTATTTCTGTGTTATTTTTGTTGATCCTAGCAACACACAAATTACACATTTTTTTCTACTTCATAGCACAATGTAGTGCTTGAGCCCTAAATTTGACATTAAAACAGAAACATTTGCACTTGTATAATTTGAGACCTCTTGAAACCAATTCCATCAAGAAATGATGACATCATAATAAAATAATCTAACACTAAATGCACCAAAGTCACCTCCAGGGGTTTTCAAGAGCAACACAAGTGCCCTGTACTTTTATCACTGTTAAGGCTAAGCAGTATGTCGTTACATAACAATTAAACCATGCTTTTGTTCTTTCCCAGTGCAATCAGTAACTGACGATGCGAATCAATCATACCACCCCATCTGTGACCAGAACTATAACCTCAGTACATTAGGCTCCGTGAGCATCGCCAATTCTCTGGAACCCATTAGCTAAAAGCACCAGTGGGCTATTGACACCCAGTCTAAGCACTAAATTTATGAACCGTCAGCCAAAGCAGCATCCGTATCTGCTGTGTTAGTGTAACTCACTCAGTCTCTTTCTTGCCACCCTGTAGCCACTGTTTGAGCAGGTACTCGTAGTAGCTGTCCGCACGGGCCCCCAGCGTAAAGGCCCCTCGCCGAGTGAATTTACCACTGTTTGTGTTGATGAACATGGGCACCAGACCATCACGCTTTCCCTCCAATCTGTGGACCTGTCTGGTCACCTCCTCCACTGCATTCTGAGAACAGAGGGAGATAAATAATAATAATAATTAAATAAATTAAAATCTTAACTTGATTTTTTTTACATTACTAAATAAATAAATGCTACAAAATAATGTACCTGGTACTGCGGGTCCTGTGTGAGTCGGCTGAGCTCTCTGAACTCCAGCTGAATGCTGGTCACCTCTGCCACCGTGCTGTCTGTGGTCCAGCGTGGAGGGTGAGCGGTTCCTTTACCAATGTTCACGTCAGAGTAGGGGATTTTAGATGGCGTTTTGAAAGCAGGCATTAATCTGAAGCCAATGTCTTTCTACAAAAAAAAAAAAAAAAGAGACACAACAAGTGTTTTATCTGTGGTCTATTAAAATAGTAGTATCTGTGTAAGCCAAAAGCTATAAATCTTTAAAGTCATACTTTGTCCTGCACTAGGACAATGAAGTATAATGAAGGATATGAAGGATAAGGAGGATAATGAGGATGATACTAAATTCAATAAAGATATGAAGTACTCACAGCTTTTTCCAGGAAGAGTGTGTCCCCGGACAAGTGGTATGTGCTCAAGAGACCCCCCAAAATACGTATGGTACTCTCAAAAAGATTCACATCCACATTCTTGGAAAAAGATAATTCTGTCTCGACCCACTTCCTCGCCTCTGCAAACTCTAATATATAAAGATTTAGAAAGAGAGAGACGCATAGAGAGAGAAAGAGAGAAGGAGGGGGTGCAAAGTACACATTTTCCATCAGTATTCATATTTATATAGTCTTTTTGCAATCAATATATTTTAATTAAAGGGTTTGTCTTCAAATATGGGAACTTTAGGCCCAGTGGACTTTCTTTCTTAAAACCCACTTTTGACACACTCACTAGTTTTTTCAATTTGTATGCTAGCAACATCCAACTGTTCAAAGGTTTTGGGACAAAATTATATTTTAAGGTTTTTTATGCTCACCAAGGCTGCATTTATTTGATAAAAAAAAAATCTGTAAAAACATACTTTAAAATGTATTTTTTTAAAAGTATGTAATTTTAAATGGGATGTGCCATCACATTACATTTATAGATTTATTATATATATTTTTTTATTATATATATCATTTATTTGTTTAATAGCCTATATCCTTCTCTTGTTTTTGTATAAATAAATCAAATAGTGTAAAATACATTTCAGAGAAAGTTTTTCTCCATCTTTTCCACTGGTCAAATAGTTTGTATCATTTATTTATAATTTATTTATATTTTTAATGTTTTACATGAAAACAAATGATCCTTCAGAAATAATTATAATATGCTGATTTGCTGCTCAAGAAACATTTTTTATTATTATCAATGAGGAAAACATTTGTACTGCTTAATATTTTTGTGGAAACATTGATATAAACTGTATATTTTTGCGGGATTCTTAGAATAATGGAAAGTTCAAAAGAACAGTATTTATTTAACAACATTTTTTTTTGGCAACAACATAAAACCCTTTACTGTCGCTTTTAATCAATTTAATGCTGTCACTTTTAATCAATGTTGACAATCGGAAATGAAACAAGTAATAGATTTGAAATGTGCATACAATGGTCAAAAAACAAAAGCTTCAGTTATAAGACTCACCGTCTTTCAGGCCAAGTATCCACATGGTGTCTAGTGCATCTATAAGTGTAAGGCCCAGACCGAACCACTCTCCATGAGTCTTAGATATGGGCTTCAGTTCATCATGACCCCACGCAAAAGCCTTGTAGCCGTTCCACGCGTGCCTAAAAGCCTCTCGCACCGCCTCTACATGATCTACGGGCTTCACTGTGACTGTGTACAACAAATCACAGAAAGACATTAGGATGATCACATGTCTGAGGCGTTTGGCCTTAATAATTGTGGGATGAATTCTGATACCTGGTTCTAAGTTGGTAGCTCCCACGGCATCAGCCACTGTTCCTTCTTTCCCATGGGCGGTGGATTGAAGCTCCGTCTCCTGCTCCGCCTCGATCATTGCCCCGCGCCAGCTAGGAGTCCAAAAACAACACTGGCATCAATTGTAACATCCAATCCAGAGATTCAGCACCCATAACAGCACTGTTTCCTCCCAGATGACCCATAACTGCAATTACACATGAGCAGGAGTCCCACAACAGGACACAGCTGGAGGAAATGAAAGCTCATCCCAACTCACTTCAAAAATGCTGCATTACCAGCTCAACTGTTAATGAACTATTCTCTAAGGTACTATCAGCATCGGCTGCGTCTCAGCCAAAAACTTGAACTACAGGAGGCTGTAGACGAACACATGAGTTCTGAACCTGCGTGTAGGGAAAAATATCAGCAGGTCTCATAATATATATCCTCGTTACCATTATAAACCTAAGGGTGACCGTGCCTTTTCGGTGAAGGGTCAGAAATTATGGAATAGCCTTCCTTTCCATGTGAGGTCATCATCATCGCTAGCCATTTCTTAGGTCTGATAGAATGATTTTGTATTTAAATATGTTTATTTATTCTAGCTTGGTCTGTAAAGCACTTTGGGTTGTTTTTAAATGTGCTATAAAAAGAAAGGTTGACTTGACTTGACTTTTTTGGTCGCTTTAGCTTTTATTTTCATGCACTGACAAGTTAGCTAAGGTGAACATCCAATAAGAGTTCTCTCTCTCACCGATGCTGATTAGACATGCTCAATTGGCCAAAAAGATCAACTGGACCATAATTTATCCAAAAATGTATGTCATTCTTTTTGTGTGTGTAAATTTTGGAGCAGTTGTAAGTACTATAAGGTGTTCACACTTCTTGGTTCTTTTGGCCTGGACTAAAAAAAAAAGATACATTTAGTCCTGGTTCACACTGTCATTTTTAAAAACAAGCCTAAACATACAAAACAAAAAATATGACATTTTTTACAACGTATATTTTGTGATGGATCTTGGCAAACATCCAAAACAATACTGTGTGCTGTATTAAACGCGCACATTCAATGAGTGTAAATATGATGGTATTTATACCAGCTGAGAACACATTAAGAGGAGTGGAGGGGATACAATTCTCAGCAGCTCCAAGCGTGTAAGTGAGACTAATAACAAATAAATGGCAATAAAACTCATAATTAGTGTCAGTTTTAATACCTCTACTTACTCGAAAGGTTAAATACTGACTAAGCCAACAACAAATAAATGTCAATGACTAATCCTTTAACCATTTCTCATAATTAAGTCTCATATAAAAATGTCTGCATCGATTGAATGTAAAATGTCCAAACCTAATGACTGTTTTTGCTTCTTTCCCTCCGTCGTCTTCTCTCTTGATCTCGGGTTCGGCTTCTTTATCTTTCATCTGCCAATCTGACACATTCCCTCGCTTTTGTAGAGCTGGAGGACCACGCTTGCTAGGGGGCTTCCTCTGCCGATTCAAACCGCCCAACATAAAAAGACAAGAGTAGATAAAGAATCTTCGGATAAATTTACACGGCAACGATGTACTAAAAATGGAAACGTTTATCTTTGCATTTGTCGCATACAGAAAAGCTATCCCCATTCACGGGGATTCGCGAAATAGACTAAAAACGCTGTATTATGCATGGCAGGACCGTAGTTGGCAATCTCACTTTGTGAAGAAACACTACGTGCCTATAGACTGAACACATAATGTCACCGTTTTCATAAACTCATGTTTTTGTACGTCACGAATTACCTTATTCACATAATATTAAAATATTATGTATTTAACATTTTTTAGTTGTAACAATTGTAATTTTGTAATCTTTTTAAATGTACTTTATCAATATAATAATGCTATAACTGATCAAATTTAGTTTTATAAAAAAGCTTTACTTTTGAATTTACAAACAATAGTATTTTTTTATTACATTTTTAAGTTGTTTTGTTATTGTTTTATCAGGGGCTGGAAAAAAATGTTAAAAATGTGTAGAAAAATTATACATTTAATAATATAATACATATACCAAATAACTAAGAGATATTCCTACTAACCATAGCTGGAGGTTTGGGAAGTATTGGGATGCTTGGTCTTTGAAGCTCCGGCAGCACTTCTGGTGGGACGTCCTGGACCCCAGGCACAACTCCTTGTGGGAGCTTCGGGAGGAGGCCAGGGGGAATGGGCCTGAGACCTCTGTTTTCCATTTCAACCCAGTCCTCTTTCAACGATCTGTCAGAGAGCCCTAGACAATAAACAGACAGAAATAAATCTCATGTGAATTATTAATAGCAAACCGTGTGATGTTTAATAAAACCTTTACCCCAGCAGCTAACATAAACGGGCAGAGACTGTACCAATCATCTATCTTTTGTGATTTCACCTTTCACATCCAGTGAAATGTCATTAAAGTGGACGAATAAAGTACCTCTCCACTGCTCCGACAGACTGGAATAGGAAAGAATCCCACAGATGAAGAGGAAGGCCAGCAGGAAAAGAATCAAACTGCGCTGAAGCCGAGACAGCTGCTTCCATTTCTGCCAAAACAAACGCAAACAATACATGGACAATCAGAGGAAAGTGCAGCAATTTTATATTTGATGGATTGACGTAGCAACTGTAATGGCCGCCAAATATAGTGCATTTCGGATTACAGGAGGCATTAAAGGGATAGTTCACCCAAAGAATCCTACATTTCCGAATCCTCACCCACATGATGTTGTTCAAACCTGCATGATTGTTCTTTTCCTGTGAAACAAAAATGAGCTACACTACCTTTGAAAGGTTTGGGGTCACTTAGACTTTTTAATGTTTTTGAAAGAAGTCTCTTCTAAGCTGCATTTATTTGATTTAAAATATAGTAACGGTTTTCTATTTTATGTATTGTAAAATGTCATTTATTTCTGTGATGATAAAGCTGAATTTTCAACATCATTACTCCAGTCTTAAGCATCACATGATGCTTTTATTATTGTAATTTTTATTATCAATGTTGAAAAAAGTGTTGCTACTTAATATTTGTGATACATTTTATTTTTTTATTTTTTTTTTGCTGAATAAAAGTATTAATTTTTATTAATAATAAAAATAGTTGAGGACAATTCATTCACTAACCGAGTGACTTAGTGATTTGCTTTTTTTGGTGTTCTTATGTTGTTTTTTACACATTAAAATTGTATTGCATGAGCTTCAATTTGGATTCCCAAGGAAAAAAATAACTAGTTTATAAAGATATTACGATGAGTAAATCCTAGCAGAACTGTTTTTTTTTTTAATGATGAACTGTTTCTTTAAGCTACATTTTTAAATTAAAAGTTTTGTTTCTTTCAAGCCACAAAATTGTGTTTTAGGCTTAGCAGGAAGTGTGTGCCTGCTTTCAGGCGATAATTAAGTATTTACAAATTAGTAGATTAAATGTGAGGTGGAAAAAAACAAGGGTTTTAACATTGCCAGTCTGGCTAGGAATGAACACAACGACTTCAGTGATGGCATTTTCTTCTCAGAATATTAAATAGATGCCAAGAAGCCACGCAGACAGGAAAATTGCACTCATTTACACAAACAAATAAAGACGCAGAAGCCGTCAGCTGTCGAACATCACAGTTAATGAATGAAAAATATATAATGCTCAGTATTTATGTCCAGCAGAACAAAGGTTTAGATGGCATGTTAAGAATAAAACAGGCAAACACGAACCCTCCAGCAGGACTGCCTCCGGTGCTTGCCGTTGGTGTAGCTGCGGTTGTGTTGGTCTCCCAGCGTCAGAGAGACAAAGTCCTTCCTCTGTGGCGAGTACATCTCTAACACAGCCCACCACTCAAACACACTAAATCAAATAGGCGAGAGAGGGGAAAAAAAGACAAGAATGACACAGATATCAAGTGATTTTCCCATAAATCACTATTAGTTACATGAGCTGAGCACATGAAGGTCTGTGGCTCCTGGCATGCTGATCTTCACAGCTCCCTGAGGAGAATTGAGGTGTAAAACACAGATCTCGTCACAAGATTACTTGATACCAGACTAAATCTGAAGTGAAATGAGGCAAGGGGTGGCACATCTGATCTGAGAACAACACCATGGGACAGGGCTATTCACCTCACTGTCCCAGGGCCATGCGAGCCATGTAAGAGGGGATTAGGAACATTAGCTTAAGTCCATCTGGTTTCTATCATACCAAACCCAGTTCATTGGATAGGATAGATTTAAAACACTGGCCTGCTAAGATGACACACATATGCTGCAGGACAGGGGAAGGTTGAATGCAGACTGTGTCCTAAATGCAAATTACAAGTAAAATCATCTGTTTGAGATTGTCATTTAAGTGTGAAGGTGAAAATGAAAGGTCAGGTTTGTTTTGAGGACAACATTCCCACACTTTTCAACCATTTCATTACCCTTCATGTTTTTGATTAGCCTACGGGATATGAATGTTCCTTTTAAATAGCAAATTCAAATTGATTTGCTGATGAATCTTTCAAAATGATTTGTGAACTGGTCGACTGATTAACTGATTCGCTCACAGATCACACATCACTACGGTTTTTGAGCAGCTTTTACACTACACAAGAAAACATTTTTTTCTAGGAAAGTCTTTTTTTAATGTTAATGTTAAATATTCACATTTATTTCCAAGATAGGCCAGGACTAAATTCACAATCTGGGTCAACAAACAACCTGATTCATTTGGTCATGTTGAGTCAAATGACTGTTTTAAATATCCACCCCTGCACCCAACTACATCACATACTTCCCAACTAAAAGTACCCGGATGACCTACATCTTCCGGTGAGATTCTGAAGTGTACAATGCATACAATGGACACTTTACTATCCCATAAGGCCACGGAAGAGGATAATGACAACATGGTGAATGTAACATACTTAAGAACATACTTTGTTCAGATAGATTAGAACATATTTTTTTTAGTGGTTGTGTATTACTTACTTATTCAAAATAAGTACATAATCAAAATAGTATGCGATTTCGGATGCAGTATGTACGTTCCGTCATATGCACACTGAATCTCACAGGAAGTAGTAGGTCGCCCAGCTACTTTTTGCCTACTCCTTTGAGTACTGTGAATTCGGACATACTTCTTATGTCACCTACAGTTTTTCCCATAGAATGCAATTTCAGATACAGCCAATAACTGAAGTGTGCCAGCCCATTCTCTGCCAAAGCGTACACCCAACGCACATGGCACCCTTTAGCGTCAATATGAGACGCAGATATATATGGGGCAGAAGGCGTCTCGTATTGGTCTACCCCAGAAATAAACTTACCCATACTCTGTGCATGTTATATTGACGCTAAAGGGTGCCATGTGCGTTGGATGTCTACGCTTTGGCAAAAGCGTTGTATATGACGCCTTGGGATGAGAATGTGTTGAGTGTGCGCAACATGGCGAACGAAGACGTAGTACGTCCAGATTACACTCATACTAGTAACAGACATTCATACTAGAACTTTTTTTGCAGTCGTGAAGTCATTTATTCAAAATAAGTAGCTTTTGCTGCAACCATAGTTTTGCAATGTCCTTCCTTGATATTGTTTTTAATTTTTAAACTTCTGAATAGGCCTACTTGTTCCTAGGCCAGCCAAGTAATTTTGTCATAACATTGGCAGCCTGTTTTGAGATAGGTTTGGGTCATCTGTAATACATACCAGATTTTTAAATCGAATAACGTTAGCTTTATATTTTGGTGCCAGCGCCACTATTAAGGATTTGTATTGCAAGTAATTCTACTTTAATGACTTTACATCAATTTTCTTAAACCATCAGTTAAATTAAAACACTTGAAAAATGTGTTTTTAGGTCCCTGTACTTGTTATATATATTTTAAATTGCATCTTCCACTGCACACACGTTAATACGGAGCCCCTCAAGTCCCACTTTGGTAAAAAAAATTAATTATAACTATCTTGTGGCCTCAAGATAGTAACTCGTGGCCTCAAGATACTAACTCGTGGCCACAAGATACTAACTCGTGGCCTCAAGATAGTAACTCGTGGCCTCAAGATAGTAACTCGTGGCCACAAGATACTAACTCGTGGCCTCAAGATAGTAACTCGTGGCCACAAGATAGTAACTCGTGGCCTCAAGATACTAACTCGTGGCCTCAAGATAGTAACTCGTGGCCACAAGATACTAACTCGTGGCCACAAGATACTAACTCATGGCCTCAAGATAGTAACTCGTGGCCTCAAGATAGTAACTCGTGGCCTCAAGATACTAACTCGTGGCCTCAAGATACTAACTCCTGGCCTCAAGATAGTAACTCGTGGCCACAAGATACTAACTCGTGGCCACAAGATACTAACTCGTGGCCTCAAGATAGTAACTCGTGGCCACAAGATAGTAACTCGTGGCCTCAAGATACTAACTCGTGGCCACAAGATAGTAACTCGTGGCCTCAAGATAGTAACTCGTGGCCACAAGATACTAACTCGTGGCCTCAAGATACTAACTCGTGGCCACAAGATACTAACTCGTGGCCTCAAGATAGTAACTCGTGGCCACAAGATAGTAACTCGTGGCCTCAAGATACTAACTCGTGGCCACAAGATAGTAACTCGTGGCCTCAAGATAGTAACTCGTGGCCTCAAGATAGTAACTCGTGGCCACAAGATAGTAATTAATGCATTTCTCTTTCATTTCAGTGTGCGTTTGTTAAAGCACACTGAAATGAAAGAGAAATGCATTAATTTTTTTATCAACCGTTTAACCCTGCTCACCCTGTTAACCCTCAGGTAAAGGACTGGCCTCCAAACGAATCCTTGTTTTACCTTTCTCTTGACTTGCTGGTCCCGGTAAGAAAGAGGATATATATGCATGAAGAGGATGAGGTCACAGCCAAGGCATCCCATCCCACTGTGCGTGTAGCATAAGTGAACTCAGTGTGTAGGTGACACCAGGAGTGGCTATCAGATCTCTATCTCTCCTCCATCACGCTGCTCTCATACAACCCGCGCATTACTCGCACAAAACGCATGCTGATAGACAGTCTAATCGTAATGTATCGATCTGTAAAAAAAATAAGCATGATCGCTGTTAATCACCAGAAGGCTGTGTTCAGTACAATGTTTATGTGACAGCTCCTATTGTATCACGTGATCCTCGTGCACACGCGTCATTCGGTCGGGCTCCGCCCTGTTTTATTAACACGTTCATGACCTTACAACAAACAATCTCTCTTTTCACATGGAGGGTTCACTTCAACAGTGAAGAAATCATTTATCTGTTAACATAATTATATTGATGATAACGTGGTTTGTGACCTGATTTTTTAAAGTGAAAAAAGATTGAAAATGAAAAATGCTGCGTGATAAATTAAATTGTAATTTTTTTTTAACGGGAATAAATACAATAGGCCAACATTTGGAAATTGGAATGATCCTAATGGTGAATAATTATTCCATTCATTATCATAGAAATGCAGTAATATATTGAATAGTATATAGTGAACAGTGCAGTAATATTATAAATGAAGACATACTTAGTCAACAAAATACTTGTGAATGCTTCTTTAAAGTGCTTATGTCAGTTCAATTATTATATTTAAGACAAGGGAGATGGTGGTGGAGTGAAACTAAAGGAGCACTTTGCTGACCTGTTTTGTGGGCCAGATAACGCTCCTTACTCATGATGATATTCACATATTACTGGATGATGTCCTCATACACTGCAAATTCAAAGGTTTGTGTGTGTGTTTTAGCAAGAATTACGACACTTTCCAATGCCTTTCCAGATATGAACATTTTTAAACTTTTATGGCAGTGTTTGCCCACTTCGTCCCATTCCACACAGATTTTCAGACGTTACAGACTACATTCAGAAAATAAATATAGACAAAGGCGACAAAGCTAGGGCGCCTTGTGCTAAAGCAAATTGTACCTGCTCATGGATCCTCCTGGGGTATAACTAGGCAGCTGCAGTTCAGCTCATTAGCTTTTTGGTTTGAATAGGGAAAAATACAACTTCACATAACATTTTTAAGAAACGGTCGTGTTTCAAACAAGGATACAAAACAGTTCGACACGATTTAAATGATACATTATTAATGCATTTTTTTTTATAGCTGATACTCAAAACAGATGACCAGCATGTGATTTCTGATAACACCAAAAATACATAGAAAACACAATATACATTACAAAATATAGGCTAATTGAACAAAATAAAGCACCTGTGCCTAAATTGAATGTGGTTTACAATGTCATTATTGATAACTGCTTTAAAGCAATGCTGAATGATTCAATTTGGCTTTGTCTGATTATTCTCAAAATTATCCAATATAATTTGAGCATTTTCTTACATTTATGTCATAAGTGCTCCCTGAGACCTACATACAGTAAATGTGAACTAAAGAAGACTCCCACTATGACTTTTTGCATGCGCATTCTTGTACCCATAATGCACATTAGATCACTGCTTGCATGGCTATTTGCTGCAGTTAGTATAATTATTCTCTTTTGGAAACAACTATTACTGCTGTATCGTAAATTTTAGCACCCATAACCACATATTTGAACAATATTTAGGCAATATGACCCTTTCTGAAATTGAACCATGACATGAACAGAGAAACCAGAAAGGTCACACAGACTTCCTGATATTTAAATCTCATGGGAAGGTTAGCTGTGTCCTCACTGGGACGCTTTGTTTCTATCAGTTCTGAAATTCAAGTTTGACACTTAAGATGAGAGGGGGAAAAAGTGTCATTTATAAACTCCAAGAATGCACTTATATTGCCTTATAATGGAAAGTCTTAACATTATGCACATGATTAAAGTAGTATACAGTTGAAACTTGGACCATGCAACCACATAGTGGTCACGTCAGAACCCTGTCATTACACTTGATGCGATCCAAGCGTCTTCTACAACGTTATTACAAGACCAGCTAGTGATTAAAAAACATTGCTAAATCAAATAAAATTAGTTATAAAATAGTACATCAATTAAAAAGCCATAAGTCCCTGTAAACAAAAAAAGGATATTGTCCATTTTTCTGGCAGCACCGGGAAAGATAGGACCCTTGTGTGGAGTCACTGTCTAAAGGACTTTGTAGAGTATTTCCTTTAGTACAAGCCATAGATGCCACATGCTTCTTCAGAGTGTTCTGTTTTCTTCTCTTTGTTGCTTGTATTTAAACACACAGAATGTACCGTTATCATTCAGTATGTCTCTAGCTGAAGCACACAGGGCCAATGGTGAAGCCAAACTCGTGAGTGCTGTTGCCAAAGATTCCTATGTCATGTAGAGGAAGCAGGTCCATGTCCTCAAACTGAAACACAGACTCACGTGGTCCAGGATCCACTTCCTCTGCAGACTGGTACACAAAATATCAACATAAAAAGTTTAAAAATGGTGGTTAAATGAAATTCCGCTAAACAAACTCAAACAAAGAGTCCCAACGTTTCCACTTAGCTGTTATTAGATATTAAGACAGAATCTGAGTTGATGAAAAGCTAATAATTACAACTAATTAAAAGCTAATAAACGACTTTTTTGCATTATTTTCCTGTTACCTCTGTAAAGCTTCTTTGAAACAATCTGTATTGTAAAAAGCGCTATATAAATAAATGTGACTTAAAACTTAAAATTAAATCAATTAATAAAAAATATAAATTTTTTATATATAAAAAAAGATTAAAAACAATATTTGTTTACCTGCATGTCATGTATACATTAACAGACATGGGAGAGTTGTGCATATGCGAATAAATTATTAAATAATTTAAATATTAACTTAAAACCTCAGGGGACTTCAAGTAAATATTATAGGCCAAAGGGGTTCAGCTGACAAAAAAATACCTAATGTAAACCAATTGCTTTATTTTAGCAAGCTTACATTCAGGTCAGGCTTTCTACACCTACTTTTCCAAATCCAATCAATTCTCAAAGGATAAAATCAAAACCAGCCCTAAATATTTGATAATAATAAGATATGGTTCTTGAGTACCAAATTAGACTGATGAAGTAATAGTGCTGAACATGCAGCTTTATCATCTTAGGAATAAATTACAGTTTTAAACATATTTAAATAGAAAACAGGTATTATTTTAAATTGTAATAATATTTCACAATATTACTGTTTTTACTGTATTTTTGATAAACTAAATGCAAACTTGTTGACTTGATAAGTGACTTCTTTCAAAATCATTTTTTTTTTAAAAATGATATAGTCCCCAAACTTCAGAATATTAGTGTACAGTATAACAAAATAAATTGATTTACTACTGCAATGAATGAATCGTGGACAAAATATTCACCTGTGTTAAAGTGATTTAATAAAAAAACACATTTTTTTTATTACTAGTGCCATTGGACACCACATACCACACAATCCTGTAATGCTCCTAAATAGCTCTGCTTCACGGCGTCTGTGAGGAACTGGACCTGTCGCTGTGTCTGGCCTAGTTGGTGTCCAGGGTAACAGGAGTACGTCACTCTCTGCTCTGCTCTGTTGCTCTGGAGTCGCAGGAACCGCAGCTGAACCACACTGAGGGCTGGATACTCAAGCTGACCAAAGATGGACAGATGGGATTTGATGATAAAATTGAGAACACATACAGTTTACTGGATGCAACAACAGGGATTAAAACTGAACATAAAAAGAGAAAGAATTTTATGGGTAATAAAAAGAACATTATTAGAAGCTATTAACCTGAACAATAAATTGAAGCGCTAAAAGGACAGCTCAATAAAAAAAACAAAAAACTCTGTTCATCATTTTGTCAGCATCATGTCACTCAAAACATAGTTCATTTGAGGTATTTAAAATTTAATTTCAATTTAATTTCCATACAACAAAAAGGGAGGGTAACTGGCCAAAAAAAAACACCACATAAAAGTACCATAAAAGTAAACTATTGACTTCTTAAGTACACAAGTCAAGAGTCTGTTAGTCTACAACAAAAAGGGAAGGTAACTGGTCCAAAAGTAACCAATCAAGAGTCTATAAGTCTACAAGCTCTATGAATTTTCATTTTAGGTGAACTTTCTCGCAGTCAGACTCCCTTCTTGGGGATAACCCAAACTTGACCAATAGGAATACACAGACCAATAGGACTACTTACTTTAAAACCTCCCTCCAGTGAACCTAACCAGTAAAACTTGCTGTTATTCCCTAAGTCATTCAGCCAAGTCCTTATGGGCAGCTGTGGAAATTGAAAGAGCAATAATAAGATGTTGATGTTTTTTTGACAAAGAGACACAGTAGTGAGGTGTTAGGTAGAACATTACATGTGCATCTCTGGGGTAAAGGCAGGTCTCTGCTCCTGAATTTGAGAAGTTACAGTAGGCCAAAAAAGCATCTAAAGGACTGCCTTGGTTTGGGTCAATGTAGTAGAAACCTGAAACAGTTATAAAAGTAGTTATTTAACAGACTGCTCAATCCAAAACCACTGACAGTATGCTTCATAGAACACAGACACTTCTTTCTTTAGTAAGACAGCTGAATTAAAAGAACATTGGATGTGCAAAAATAGCACCTTATTTAGAACTCTTTTCAGTGCTCTACATGAAATATTTTATTTATCCTATAGAAAACAATTGTAGAAGTAGTTTCAATAAAACAAAATGTGTTTTCAAGGCTTCATGGCCTACTACATGACTTTGAGATAAGTCACACGGGAAAGAATGAGGTTTTAGCTGAAGAAGCTTGTGGTTGGCATCTGCACTGACACTAAGTTTCTCTTTTGGTTCACATGACCTTCAACAAGTTCTGTTGATAAAAAATAATGAGGCAAAAACACTGAATAATCACTCTGTGGGACAATCAAAATATGTTTGACTAGTTGGCAGTCGGCCACCCTTACAAAGACAACAGGCTAGCCAATTAATGAAGTAACTGTGAGTTTTGTGGAGATTCCAGGAAGAGAAAAGGGAGGAGAGCACCTGCAATTGAGATCATAAGTTAAAACTATAAAAGTGTTGCGAGTGAGATGGTCAGATGTTCTGCAGGAATCTCGGCTATGTTGCTAAGTCTAATTATGACTTCTGAACCTCTGCGTCTTGAGCATTAATTTGCAAGATTGAGAAGACTTTTCTCCACGACACTGTCCACTTGTTGTATCACCTGAGATAGTACTAAGAGTATGCTTTTCCAAAGTTTTTAAAACTCCAAAAACCCAACCACAACCAAAAAATATAATTGTAATGCAGAGATTTTTTAAAAGACAGCACAAAAGAGAACATGAACAAACAGATACATGTTTGAAAGATGAAAGATAGAGGTGGGCTCTGACCACTGGTGTAGTTGGGATGGCACAGCCACAGCTCCAGACAGGTAGAGGCTGGGTGCTGCTTGCTGCCGTCTGGAGGGTCCACCAGAAGCCGGAGGTCATGGTACAGAGAGTCCAGCAGTGTCTGAATCAGAGGGTAATTGGGCTTGTCTGAAATGTACATCAGGTCCTATTGGACATGAAAAAGTAACACAAAGAGATTTACTATGCATATTACTTTCATTCAAATTTAAAATAAAAACATTCTTTACTTCGATAAATGTCTGAATCGAGAAAATATGGGGCCTGTTCTTACAAAAAAACCTAATTTTAAATGTACACAGAAAATCCCAAAAACTTTTAAATCAGGTTTACACAAATCCAAATTTCTAGGTGGCTTGAAATATCTTGAGTGGAAATGCATCTCAGTCTGAATAGTCTAAATTAAGTACTTCTTCTGTTGTTTAGGATGTATGTAACATCATGCAAAATATGCTCATCTTAGTGCATACAGTGAACTGTGTGGCATTTGCTAGTGCCGTGTGAACAAGGCATTAACAACATGAAATTATCAGCAATGTATTTAAGAGAAAAGAGCCATTACGTTTTTAAATAACTTGCCTTGATCTGAGTCATGGTCAGGTTCACAGTATTACCAGCAGGTCCTGGTGGCCCCGGTGGCCCCTAAAATAATCAAACAAACAGAAATATTAATTTTTTTCGTATTGTTAAAAGCACTGTAAAGTGTGTCTGACAACTTACTGGAATGCCCCGTCTTCCAATGGGGCCAGGAGGCCCCTGAAATCCCTTGAGTCCCTAAAATTAGAGATATATAACTGATGTACAAAACTTAACATGGTCAAATTAACATATACTGTAAATAAATAAATAAATAAATAATTTATATAACTATAAAAATAAAAATAATTCAACATCATTTATTTATGTTTTTTCAAGTTTTTTAATCTGGAGCATTGTCTTTTAACTTGATAGATACTGACTAAAGAAAGCTTTGAAAATTAAATTTCATACCTTGTCTCCAAACAAGCCCTGCAGGTTGGAGGAGATAAAAGAGAAATAAATTATAAATGATCTTCTGGGAAAAAATAAAAAAATAAAATAAAAAATCTGTGGCTGCGATAAAGCACTTCACTTGTCCTTGCTTATGCCATTAAAAATTAATTAACCATGCTTTCATATTTTGAAAGGACAGAGCACATGTAAATGTATCTGCAGCAAATGTGTTAATGCAAATTAGGCTACGGTTTAAAAGGCACAGTTCACTATTATTTTTAACGCTGAAACATAAAAAAAAGACATATTTACTGGTAGTCCAGGTATTCCAGGTGTCCCTCTAGGCCCAGCTGGACCAATATTGCCCTTTAGGAAAAAGTATATGCATTCCATAATTAGTTATGTAGCAGATGCTTTTAACCAAAGCAACTTAAAAATGAAGGAGAAAGAATTGAGATATCTATTCAAATGTATTATATTAAAAACTAAGAAAAAACAAGAATATGTGTTTTCAAGATGTTTTGACTTTTACCTGAACCCCCTTTGGTCCTGGGGGTCCTGGAGGACCAAGAGGCCCCAAACTCCCCTAAAGAGGATAAATAAATACTCTTATAAGAGAACTGAATAGGTTGTACTGCAGAAGCATTGGATGTGCTTGTGAAATGCCAAACCTTCAAGCCATCTCTCCCTGGTGGACCAAGAGGTCCCTGATCCCCTTTCTCACCCTATTATGGACAGGTTAAGGAATTAACATTAAGAAAGTGTTTTTATGGCACAAAAATAATCATGTTGGAGTACATTTTTAAAAGCACCTCTGCTCCTTTGACACCTCGCTCGCCAGGCTCTCCTTTCACCCCTTGGATTCCCTGTCAAGCATCAAGCATGTTAATATTATCCTATTTAATTCATTCCCACAATATTATTTAATCCAAAAGATGTGCCAATTTTAAAATGGACTGTTCTGACCAGGAGTATTAATCTTACCATACTTCCACCCCATCCAGGAAGTCCTTTCTCTCCTTCATCTCCAATCTCTCCCTATTGGACAAGGAGGAGGCAAGAAGGAAATACCTTGTACTAACTTGTCCAATTGAAGCCATGGGTTTCAAAAATCAAGCTTGTCATGTGTTTAAATGCCAAGTTGATAAAATCTCTGAACTCTGACCTTTTCTCCTCTTGGTCCTCTGGTCCCTCTCAACCCTGCCTTTCCTCTTTTACCCTTTTCGTCGAACACCAAAAAATAAAAAATAAAATCAGTTTTTCAATCCTAATCACCACAATTTTACAAATGTTTGTCTTGCATTATGACATAAATTACATCAGAGTCTAAAATAACCTAAGTATATTCATAACAATTTAATGTCATTAAACTTTGTTGTCTTTTACTAAGAGATTTGGAAACATTTAATAGAATCTAAGCACAAAAGGCACTTTTGAGGGCATATCACATCTTACCCTCCGTCCAATGTGACCTATTTTTCCAGGTGCTCCATCTTTGCCTTGAGCTCCCTAAAAATGCATCAATAACCAAATTCAAATTTGAAATGAATTTGCAGATAAGAGTCCTGGGAAATCTGTATGCTTAAACACAGCTCTCATATTTGACAGCAAGGACAAAGGTATAGAGAAAGAACTTTTATTTTAGATAGCAGACAGGGATTAAGACAGTGAAAAGAACATTGTGACCTTACCTTCACTCCTTTCATGCCCTCTTTTCCTTGAGGTCCTGGGTTACCCAAACGGCCCTGCAACAACCAAAACTTATCAAGGGCCTGATGATTAAGCAAGCAGAGTTGAAACAAAGGCATAATTAAATTAAGGTCTATCTATTTGTTGTCTCTTTTCTGTAAATGTACACTTTTGTCTGGGAACTGACCTGAGTTCCTGGTGGGCCTGGCGAGCCCCTTGCCCCTTCCTCACCTTGTGGACCCTAAGGTAGTAGATTTGAATTGATATAACTGGATTAATCAAACACATGTACTGTATTTCTATATACAGCCAAGCATCATATAACGTCGCACCAACTGATTTTAATGTCCGTACCTCCAAACCAAGCAGTCCTGGAGGCCCTTGTATGCCCTGAAGGCCGTCTGGTCCCTAAAGGGAGGAGATGAGTTAGTTTTGAACATGTAGTAGATTTATTGACGATCAATTTAATTTTCCATTTAGTGGAGATCATCATAAGCTCACCTTCACCCCTTGTTCTCCTTTATCTCCTGGGTCTCCTTTCTCCCCTTCAGGCCCTGGGAGACCTTTAGGGCCCAAATGACCTTGGGGACCAAATGATCCAACACCACCCTGTAGGTCAAGGTATGATCATGAATCAGTTAGAAGTAAAACAAATACTGTAGATTGTCAAAGAATAGGCTATCATCTTAATGATGAATATAAACATGAAAAATTTGCCTGTGTGCCGGCTTTTCCTGAGTCACCTCGTACGCCTTTGGGACCTGCAATTCCCTAAGGCACAAAGCAAAGATATGAATAACGAGAACATAAATAAAACAGCAATTTTTTTGACATTCAAAGTAATGCAAATAAGATGTTCTATGTTATGAGCTTTGCAGAATATATTAATATAGTAATGTATTTTCATTTCAAGTGGATCATAACCTCAGGTCCAGCATCTCCTGGCTCACCAAGTAAACCACTCAGCCCAACTTCTCCCTAAAAGAGACACTTAGATTTAGACCATACTAATACATTTAATAATCTAAATATGTTTTAAGTGAACAATCAAATGTGGTACCTTGCTTCCTGGAGGTCCATCTGGCCCCACCAGCCCTGGATGGCCTGGTCCACCCTGAAACACAAGAAAACAGGAAATGTTTATCAATAACAACCATATCAAACAGGAATATCAGTTAACCATTATCAGGTGAAACAGATCATAGAGTATGATGAACTCTAGTAAAATAAGGATACTACACACCTCTACACCTTTCAGACCAGCAGGTCCATTCCCGCCCATGAGGCCTGACTCTCCCTGACATAAAAACAGCAAACGATAAACACAAATGCAATAAAATTGGACAAAAAAAGTCAAGATACCATGCATTTTTACATGGTAAAAGAACATGAGACATATTTTAGTGTTTTCCATTTAGGAAAAATACCTGCATCTCCATTCAAAAGCTTGAAGTCAGTAAGATTTTTTAAAGCTTCTGAAAGATGTCTCTTGCTCACCAAGACATTTATTTGATCAAATGTACAGTAACATACAAAACTAATATTGTGAAATATTATTACGTTTTAAAATAACTCATCTACTTTTACTAATTACGTCTATTTTAAAATGTAATTTCTTTCTGTGATGGGCAGGCAGAATTTTGAGCAGTCATTACTCCAGTTTCACATGATCCTTAAAAAAGTATTAAAATATACAGATTTGGTGCTTTAAGAAACATTTAATTTATTATTAACGTTGAAAACAGTTTGTTCTGATTAATATTTTTGCACTTACTTGAAATAAATATTTTTTTTTTGTAATATTATAAACGTATTTACTTTTTAAATTAATGAATCCTTGCTGAATAAAAAATACTGATTTCTTTCCAATAGTAGCGTAGATCAAATGATAATATAAATAGAGAAGATACTTAATAAAAAACATGTCAGGGTAAATAAAATGTTATGCGAACAAATGCATAATATAAAATGCTAATTTGCACTCACCAGTAGTCCAATTTGACCCTTGGCTCCCTTGAGTCCCTTCTCTCCCTGCTCCCCTATGTCTCCCCACGGCCCATCTATACCAGTAAATCCTCGTGGCCCAATATCACCCTGAGGGGAAAAAAAGAAATATAGTACAACAGCATTTTCCCTAAATGACACTATAGTGGTATATTATAGTATATTTATTCATATAAAAATGAATGACCTTTTCTCCTTTAGGGCCGGGGTCTCCAGCAACACCAACTGGACCAGCATCACCCTTTATAAGGAGAAAAACACCAATATTACTCTTTTAAAAGACAGTGAGACTGATCGTATTTGAGACCTTTAGGGGTAAATTGCAAAGTTGTGCCGACATTAAGAAATTATTCTCCACACCTCATTGCCTGCTGGGCCTGGTGGACCCATTGGACCTTTAGCACCTGGAGGGCCAATGTTTCCTTTTGGTCCTTGAAGACCGAGCTTTCCGAAGGGACCTCTGTCCCCCTGCCAGTAGAAAACAAATGTTAAAAAATACAAGAAAAAAAAAACCTACATTAATGTTATTTTTGTCTATAATTTTATGATAGTAAATTTCATTTCAATTGTCAACTGACCTTATCACCTTTCCTTCCAGGAGGCCCCTCCAAACCCGTTGGACCAGTTGGACCCTACAGATGTCAAAGGAAAGCTTTCACCATATCTCAGTTGCCAACAATTTATTAAATCTCTAACCATTTGAGACTGTGTCATTGTGATTTTACTCTGGTTCATTAAAACATCACATGGCTTAATGTTTTAGTTTGCTATTCGGTACTGAACATAAAGATCAAACAATTTTGCAGTGCCAATCTAACCTGTGGCCCTTCCAGTCCGAGAGGCCCGTTGTCACCAGGAGGGCCCATCATTCCCTGTGCATTTATAGCAACTTTTAGTGATTTCGAAAAGGAAACACAATCTGAGATATTCTAAATCTTCTAAATCACTTAAATCACCTTTTCTCCTTTCATCCCATCTACACCTGGCACTCCATTTCCCCCCTGTAAACCCTAAAGAAAGAAAGGAAACAATTTTTAATTTGATGTCAATCAACATCTTTCATTTAGCAAAGCTTTTAAAATACATCATCATGTATGGTAGGGAGGATTTTTAACTTACTGGAATACCCTGGGGCCCGTTTGGCCCAGGTTCTCCTGAGAGCCCTTTACTTCCACTGGGTCCTGATTTTCCAATGACCCCACTGACACCCTGAAGTCCTGGCGGACCCTATATAGACAATCAATCATAATCAGTGTTTGAAAATTAACAGCCAAACTGAGATATAATATAAATGAAAGAGCTGATTGTGCGCTCACACATGGCCCATCTGTTCCCTGATGCCCGGGATCTCCCTGACGGCCCTGCAGAGAGGTAACCCATTTATTTTTCAAAGGAAATAAATGAAACCTTTTATATTTCAGCACTGCTTTATGAGAAATCAAACTTCACCGAACGAGTTTGGTCAGAATTTTTTTTATTTTCTTCGAGAAGTGGTATATACCTGGGGTCCTGGCAGGCCTTTTTCTCCTACTGGACCAGGGGGACCCTAAAAAACACATAAAGGTTAACAGTATTAGTCACCACAACCACAACATGCAAATGGCAGTGTTACAGCAGTGGAAACTGAAATAGGTTTGTCCATAAAATAAAAGAAATTAAGGTACAGCAACTGAAGTAGAAAATAAAAATGATTTGCTCGATTTAGCTTAAAGTACTAGATCCATCAGACACTTACTGGTGGTCCAGGCTTTCCATGTGGTCCAGGAGACCCTCTTAGACCTGTCTCTCCCTATGGCAAAACAAATGTATTTTTTTTAGCTAAAGTTACAATTAAAAAGACTAAAAACAGTCAGGCTTTGCTTTAAACCCAAGTGAGCAGTCTAAATTTTGAGTCATCATCATAATAGGAAGGTTATTCCAAGCTTATAATGGATGGGAAAATCCCAGAAAGCATAGTGACAAACTCAGAAAGTGATATGTTGATCAATAAAATATATAACAATTTAAGGTATTATGAAACACTACTTAACAAAATATTTGAAAATAGATATATTCAGTTTCAGTACTGACAAAATATTGACTTTAAATATGCGGCCTTTCAAATGTTTGTGGTCAGTAAGATTTTTTTTTTTTTAAACGTTTTGGAAAGAAGTCTCTTATGCTCACCAGGGCCGCATTTATTTTATCGAAAAATACAGTAAAAAACGTAATATTGTGATAATATTACAATTTAGGCTGAATTTTCAGCAGCCACTACTCAGTAGCACAGTAGTGCTACTCCAGTCTTTAGGGTCACATGATCATTCATAAATCATTCCATTCTAATACGCTTATGTCGTGTTCAAGAAACATTTCTTACTATTAAAACAGTTGTGCAGCTTAATATTGTTGTCTTTTTTCAGGATTATATGATGAAGAGAAAGATTAGAACAGCAATTATTTTAAATAAAAATCTTTTGAAACATTATGTCTTCACTGTCACTTTTGATCAATTTAAAGTGAAAAAAAATGAACATTTGTCATCACTTACTCAAAAAAAAAGTCAAAGGCTACATCAACTGTCTGGTTTCCAAAATTCTTTTAAAATATAGTATATAGTTTGAGTTCAACAGAAGAAAGAAACCATTCATCTTTGGAACAACATGAGTAAATGATGACAAAATTTATATTTTTGGGTGAACCACACCTTTAATGTGTCCGTGTTAAATAGAAGTATTGTTTTTTTTAATTAATTTAATTTAATTAAAACAACTTACTGACCTACCTAAATAAAAATCCACCCAATATCTGTGTGTACTGTGCAGTCCTTTTCTCTTATATGTGTATCATGTTAGCTTAGCAACATGCAAACTTTGTTCAAAGTCAAATCTCTGATAATTATAATTATCAAAACTGATAATTGAGCCTAATAACTATAATTGAGCCTAATAAAATAACTGATAATTTAAACCTAATCCATTTAGGTTAGGAATTTGCCTTATAGGTCAGCGTATTATGCAGACTATGAGGCAGGTTCACTATGATAAGAACAGAGCCTTTATCTGTGGGTATGCTTTGACATTATAACTGTAAAATACAACAGCATAATATAATGGCATTATGGTTAATGCAGGATGGTTAAAGTGCAATTTGTCTTTACTCTGTCTCCAGCGTGGCCTGGTCTTCCTCTCATACCCATGTTTCCTGGAAAACCCTTAAAAGAATATGACAGAGTTATGTCAAAACATTAACCTCAAGTACAATACTCCTAATCCTGCTCCTTTTTCCCTCTATAAAGCCCTGTAGAGGGGTCACTTACATACATGCCTACAGGGCCCTGCGGTCCCTCCACTCCTGTCTTTCCAGAGAAACCCTGAGAAAAATAAATACCAAAACATCATGAAAAATCAGCAGCTTGGTTATACGAGTTACATAAGAGCAAAGAAATAATTAGCAACATACCCTCTCTCCTGGTGGTCCTGGACTGCCCATAGATCCCTCTCGTCCAGGCAGACCCTGTCATTGAAACACATAATCAGTTCAGATTTAACAATACACAAACAGATCACAATGCAGAATTTTTACTTTTGTATTAAGTTGCCCAAGTGATCTCATAGACCTTAGTCAGGGTCACGGCATATTCAATTTTTGACAGGAATCAAAATGAGGTTGTGAGGAATATATAGTAATACAGTGCATTCGATGTTTTGTACTGTTGTTTAACAACATAAAAAAGGCGTGATCTAAGACCTTTATACAGTGTGCACCATTGTTAAGGCGGTATGTCCATCCCTTACAGCCTCGTTTTCATCTGTTAAATTCATCTTGTTAGCATCTACTGTAAGGTGACTAAGGTCAATTAATCTAATTATGTTTCTCAACCTTCTCTCTGTTCATAACAAACTCGATGAATAGGTCAAATTAATCACCAGCATGCAACTGAATGATAATACAATTTTTGCATTAATATCCATTTGTGTTGGAAAGGCAAAACTATTTGTATTTGAATCTGGGGAGAAGTGGGTTTCTTATGCTCACCAAGGCTGCATTTATTTAACTATAAATATTTATATTTTAAACTGTAATTTATTCCTGTGAAGACAAAGTAACTTCCAGCCATAACTTCAGTCTTCAGTATCACATGATCCATCAGAAATCCTTCTAATATGCTGAACCAAGAGTTGAATCCTGTGAAACTGTTGTCTGAGCCGATTAACTGAAGTCTGTCAGACAAATTACACAAACAATGGCTGATTAAAAGATCCAAATACGCTTTGATCTCTATTTGATTTTGCATGTGCTCCAGTAGAATATGTGTAAGTGTAATCGTATGCATTATGTATATAAAAAACAGAACACACATATAACTTCAAGACTACCACCTCAACTTTTTTATATATTGAAAGGCAGACGTGCCAAGAAATATAGAAAATGTAATCTGAATACACAGCGTAAAAAATGCAATACTATGAAAAATAATATGTAATATGGATTCAGTTTTCTAAACACACTGTAGGAAATAAAGTTGGCAATTCAAATAGGGGTCAGGAGGGTGTCTGTCTTGCAAGCAGGGGAATTTACAATGCTGACATTTTGTCATCATTCTTGTGCTTACAAATAAACTATTCAGCTTCAGGCACAGCAGACTAGTAAACTCTGAAGTGATTTAAACACGTGTGTGGAACTGACAGAGAATAGAGAAGAAAACTCACCATAGATCCTGGGGGTCCATCCTGACCAGGTTCTCCAGGAATACCTTGCAATCCCTGAGGTTTGAGAAACCAATCAAGAACTTAAAAGCCTGTGTGTTCATGTGTGTTACCAGTGTTTCCGCTATTTTACTGGACTCATTTATAGCTGGTAGGGTGCAAATTAAACTTTGACAAGCTGCACATAACACTGGTGCCCACTAAATTCCTGGGAAGGCCGTCTTTGTTTGAATAACCTCTTTATGATTCATAAAAGGCATAGCCCATCCTCTATAAAATGTGATCATCACTTTTTTATTTGATCTGCACTGGGAGCTCAGTCTGCTGGATTCATGACAACAATCTGCATTATAGAGCTCCATTCACTGCCAAAAACGGCTCATTAATGGTAAATAGAGTCTGTTAGAGGTGCTCAATATGAAAGCTTAGCAGTGATAACTAAATAAACAGTTTCTGCCAAGTAGCTAAAGCTACATTAAATGACTTTATAAATGCCAATATAGACTTTAAAACCATTTGTAGGTGGGATATTACATAAAGAGTTCTGAACCCACCGTTGGTCCTTTAATTCCTGCATTACCCACAAGGCCTTGAAGTCCCTGGAGCACAAGAAAGAACAATGAGAATGAATTTGAACTTTTTACAGTCTCTGTTGAAGTACCTGTTTACTAGGACATGTATTGAGCTATTTATAGTAACTGTAACAATAGACAAATGTATCTGTATTTAATATAATACTCCATTCTTTACTAAATTCTTGTACCCTCTTTCCGAAATAGGAAATGTGCTGTGATTGGTTAGATGGCCTAGTGTGTCATGATTGGCACAGCTTAGCACATGTTCGTGAAATGTCCTCAGCGAATTCTGTGCAAACTGCGAATTCTTCTGTAGTCTAAATATTAATGATGCCGTAAACTTAAAACCAATCCGAGCCTAATTCAGACCCTGACAATGTTAAAGGGATACTCCACTTTTTTCGGAAATAGGCTCATTTTACCACTCCCCCAGAGTTAAACAGTAGGGTTTTACCATTTTCGAATCCATTCAGCCGATTTTCTGATATTTAGAAGAATATCAGTAACCAGACAGTTTCTGGTCTCATTGACTTCCATAGTAGGAAAAAAATATACTATGGAAATCAATGAGACCAGAAACTGTCTGTTTACTGATATTCTTCTAAAAATCAGAAAATCAGCTGAATACATTCGAAAACAGTAAAACTCGACCGTTTAACTCTGGAGGAGTTGTAAAATGAGCTTATTTCCAAAAAAAAAAAGTGGAGTATCCCTTTCACGACAGGATCATGCAGAACGGATTTCATGCTCAGGCTTTGCAAGCATGGATTGTATGTTTCAGAGTGGTATGCTTTTGTAATTTTCTTATACATTATATTTATGATGTGCAGGATTACAAATTTTTACTTAAATGTTTAAATTAGGTTCCACTACAATAGTATATAAACTGAGAAGGTCTAGTAGACTGAATTTATCATTTGAGTATAAATGTGAAGGTATGGGTGATACAACCAGGCTGTTTGGATTACCATCTATACATGACACTGTTATGCTGATGAGATCAGGGCTGGGGAATTTCCGCTAACAAGCTGAATCCTATACTTTGTTAGAGAGTGTCTACACCTCTACAGTATGTAACGGTATATGTATATGTAACGGTTTTTGAAGGAAGCAGACTACTGCAATGCAACAACAATAAAGAATCCTGCTTAAAGATACTACCGAGTCTCCTGGTCTTCGCTTCTGTGTTCCTACACTTTAGAAGAAGAAGTTCACTACAGATGTTATCCACCATTTAATCGTGCTATTTGTCAGAAAACTAAGATCGATCTCTAAACCATGGTTCATTTTTCGTAAGGAGCCATGGGCAGTCTTACAAAAGCTACAGTAAACAAGCTCTTCTCCATAAAATGTGCAGCGCACAGATACACATTTGGGTTTTAATATTCATCGAGCCATTGTTGTGTTTCTTGAAAAGGGGATTCTGTCAAATATCAAAATATCTCCCTTTGGGGTGGACTTTGAGCTTTCTAACCTTGCAGATCTTTACTATGCTCAAACAGCAACATTAGACTAGAAAAATATGTTTTCATAATATAATGCAGCCTTCTTGATTTTATATATTTAACTGAAGTACAAATGCATCAACAATATGTTTTTTACAGTTATCATGGTATTAGAATATAGAATGGGAACCTGTGTACCAGGCTTTCCTTCAGCTCCAACAGGTCCAGGTGGGCCAGGTAAACCCTGCAATAAACGCCATCAACACTGACATCATCAACATTCTACACAGAAGATTGATAATGGGGAGTTAAGGATTTCCATTACTCTCAGCTTTTGTATATGGACACTTACAGGAAGTCCAGGCATGCCATTGTGACCCCTCTGCCCTGTTCGTCCCTGAAAATGTATTGATACATCATTAAATGCAATATTAAACAGCTTTTTTCTATTTGTAATACTTTAAAGCTTATGACCATAATACACTACCATTCAAATATTTTAGAAAATTTGTTTTACAAAAAATACAGTTAAAAATTATTAAAATTTTAAAGAACTGTTTTCTATTTTAATTTTATTTAAAATTAAACGAACATTCTTTTAAAAGATAATTTAGTAACATTATATAACATGACTATAATACAGCTGCATTTTCAGCATAATTACTTCAGTCTTCAGAGTCACATGATCCTTAGAAAAAATAGAATTAAGTTATTTTTAAAAAATCTTACTGACCTCAATCTTACATGGCAGTGTATATAATAATATACCATAAAGTGTATTACCTTTAGGCCTCTTGGACCAGGCTTTCCCGGCAGGCCTTCAGGACCTCTGCTCCCCTTCAGTAAAACGGACATTTTACATTAGCAATGAAGAATATTACTGTACATTAAATCCTAATGCCTATAGTACAGAGCAACTCTGACCTTTGACCCCTCCTTGCCCACTTTGCCATGCAAACCAGCCTCTCCATCCTCTCCCTATGTGTTAGAGGAAATTGTGTTATGACTAATAAGACTAACCGCAAATGTGATACAAGTGAAGTAATCATAATGTAACTTATACCTGAATACCCAGTGGTCCTGGCAGACCTCTGATGCCTGGGAAACCAGGAAAGCCCATTGCTCCCTGCTCACCTTGAATGCCCGAAACCCCTGGGGCTCCTCTAGCACCCTGGGAGGAAAATACAATTTTTAACAAGTGACATCTGTTATCATGAGGGTAACAACCTAAAACAATGTGCAGTGTACTATAGACTGTATATACTGTATACTTCAATTCATATTTAAAGTTTACTTTGTTTCCTTTAGGTCCAAAGTCTCCCTGGTCCCCATCAGGTCCTCTGTTACCCTTAAAGACAGTAAAGCTATTAGAGCCAAAATAAAAACTCATAATAGAGACAGGTTAAAATAGACATGGCATGAGCTTACTTTGTTACCAGTAAAACCCTTTGGACCTTGTGTTCCTAGTACACCCTTAAATGAAGAAAACACAAGAAAGATTAACTAGTGCATGTAAGAAACAGGACATTACCTTGGTTACATTTGAATGACAATTACAGAAAAATACATTGGGATATATTTTATATGCATATATATGTTTAATCTGTGTATTTTCGTATATAGGATGAGTGGTTTTTACCATTATTCCTTCAAATCCTGGCTCCCCTCTGAGGCCCATTGGCCCTGCAGGTCCCTGTAAATGAACAGTTATAAGAAGGTATACTAAAGTTAAAACATTCGTTTTTTAAATAAATTAATACATTTATTCAGCAAGGACACATTAAATTGAACAAAGGTTACAGTGAATACATTTATAATGTTACTATATATATATATATATATATATTTTTTAATAAATGCTGTTATTTTAACTTTCTATTCATCATAGGTCCATATTCACATTGATAATAATAGGAAATGGTTCTTGAGCACCAAATCAGCATATTAGAATGATTTCTGAAGGAATTACATATCTAGGTAGAACGTTTAACAGCATGAAGCCGTTTACGATGATTACGGAGTTAGGAAGATTGAAAATTTAAAAAAAAAGCCATTTCACTCTGTGAGAAAAAAAGTGCTTACAGGCTCTCCTTTAGGACCAGGAAAACCATCCCGGCCTGACAGCCCCTAGTGAAGAAACATATGAATGCAATAATATGGATCACATTCAAATAAAATATTGTTTAACAGAACCTGTCACAGGCTAGTCACTTAGTAAGGATATTAGCATGCAGATACCTAAAATAACCTCCAAGACTACCATATCTTTATTCAATCAATCAAATCAATTACATAAGACATTCACCTGTGGACCCCTGGGCCCAGGAGGTTGGTTCTGTCCCTCTAATCCCTGGGGACCCTAATAAATGACATATATGTTGTTATGTAGAGGTCATTTATCAGCAACATTACACTGTCCCTCCCAAATAATAAATAGCATACCCGTGGACCCGTAAGACCAACAGGTCCTGGAGGCCCAGACTCCCCCTAGAAAATATAACAGAAATTGTTAGTATGTCACAGATTGACATAATTGAGTGGAACAGTATGAAATAGCCTAAACACTTACACGCGACCCATTAGGCCCCTGGGCACCAACCACACCTGTCCAACCAGGAACTCCCTGTAAACATTTAAATAAACTGAGATTGAAAGAAAATGGACAAACAATACATACAAAAGTAAAATAAAATACAGTGTAATGAAAAGGAAATGCATTTATTTGAAACAGGAATCATATAATGTAGTGTCAATGCTAATTGTGGTTTAGTCAACACACAATGAGTCACACCGTCAGTTTGTGATATTCTGTATTACTCACAGGTGCACCTGGAAGACCTGGTGGTCCATCCATCCCATCATCCCCCTGTGAATAGTAACATTAACAGATAACAATAACTAGATTAACTAGACTAGGACCTTATATTACATATACACTTGTGCATTTTATAAATAAATGTTGAGCATTTAGTGTATAATAGTCATTTTGTCTTCACTTACATCTGGCCCTGGATGCCCTTCAGGCCCCTCCATCCCTCTCATACCTTGTGGACCCTGAAGAATAATTCAAATACAATCAGGAAAGATAATATAAGGGAATATTAGGTTAATAATAATGTTGTTATAACTATGTTCATTTAAATGACAAAGCCAGATGTAATTAAAGAATCAGTCTTGATTATTCTGTTGATTTATAGCTACAAGGAATGATGCTGCAGTCATAATTAGATGACTTACAGGAGGGCCAACAGGACCAGGAGAGCCAGGTACACCTTTTGAGCCCTGTAAATGTGAACCACAAGTTAAATATGTTCATAAACACTTAAAATTACCAAGAACTGTTCCCAGAATGATGCGACTGTAGATAATAAAAATACATAATAAATGAAGTGCCTGCTGAATAGTTCTTTTCTTGACCACTAGATGGTGATATATACAAACAATACACCTTATTAAATAGGGTGCTTGAATTTACATTATATTGACTACTTGTTTAATGATGGCTTACTTTCTCACCGGGTTTTCCCATATCTCCACATAGACCCTCAGGTCCAATAATGCCCTGCAAAAAAATGAAGGGTGTTAATGAAGGGTGTAAAAAGGTATAAACGATGGTTCACCGAGGGATTTGAACCTACAACATGTAAGTGACCAGTTTGAATTTTGACTCACCTCCTCTCCTTTTTCTCCAGGTGAGCCGGATTCACCTTTATAGCCTAGAGGACCCTGTGTTTTAGAATTTAAAACTGAATTTTAAAACTGTTGTGTTAACAGGAATCAGAAAACATCACACAAATTAAAACACTTATAGGACAGGATACTAAAATAAATTGCTTATTTATGCCAAAATGAAGCAGTCTGGATCACAAGAGTCATTTGTGTATGGTGTAAAATATAACATGGTTACTTGACCTTTGGTCCTGGAATTCCTGGAGACCCCTGAGGCCCGTCCAGTCCGTTTTCCCCATCCTTTCCGTGGACTCCTGCTCTTCCAACCACACCCTTTGGTCCACGGTCACCCTTCAGAATAGCACAGATTAAATCATAATAAAAGAAGGAAAAGTATATGTGAATCACAATAGCATGAACTAATACTGTAACTGTGGCTATACTCATTCTTTGCACGTGACGTCACATGTACTGGCTGGTGGGCAAGAACGTCGTTCTCTAGCAACAAAACCCAGTAAACTAATCAAGGATCTTGCCAGGACATCACCAGTTTTAATAAACAAAAAAGTTGGTGTTTTGAGGTGTAAACCACATGCCAGATAGTTGTTGTGCGATTGGATGCACAAATGTCAATCGTGTAATCTTAACATAAATGTGCTCACACGTTCGCCAGTAGGTGGCGCGGTGAATACTGTATATGGAGGATGAATGGTTACTGTTGTACTGCGTCTACTTGTTTCTTACAGTTAATTTGCATGCATACTATCGTACACTTATTACTATACTACATTACAGCCTAACAGATTGCTAACAGGATTATACGCATCTCGCTGCTCTTGTCTGTTGTCTGATGCTATGTGGAGTGGATAAGCAGGTAGGCTACAATATTTGACTTCCTGCTGGCCATATACAGTTAGCATACGTTTTCTATCTATCTATCTATCTATCTATCTATCTATCTATCTATCTATCTATCTATCTATCTATCTATCTATCTATCTATCTATCTATCTATCTATCTATCTATCTATCTATCTATCTATCTATCTATCTATCTATCTATCTATCTATCTATCTATCTATCTACTCCTTCCAATAGCAGTGCACTCTACATCATTAAATGCTAACAGAAGCTCAGTTTAGCAGTGATTCATGCATGGGCTTTGGGAAGAGATATGTCAGTCCCAAACCACAATGGGGAATGCAGATACAAAGGCCTTTGTTTACATCTGTGGTTAAATCTCTGCAATGATTGGGTGGGGTAGTGTATGTAATAAATCCCACACAGTTCAATAAAAAGGCAGCTAATTAATTGCCACTAATTTGAGGTGACATGATGTCTTGCTCTGACAAAAAGTAAATATTAGTCCATATAAAAATACAGCACATGTGATTTTAATTAATCGTAACTAAAATGTATTTTCCTCGCAGGATTAACAATTATATGCTTTTGAAAACTAAACATTTCCAAACACTTCAGTCAAAGTCACTCAGTCAGTGTGTCTTAGTGAATCATCTCCGAATATACTGTAACAAAAAGGGAAAATAAACTAGACTTTAATATACAGTATAAACTCATGACTTTGAGTAACAAAAGTGAAGTAAATCATGAAAACAGAGTTTGCTTCTACCTAGTAACAGAAGGCTTTGCTGAATTATGAATATGAAGAACCAATCATATTGGAGAAAAATGATGTAATGAATGTCTCCTTTGCCATGCTATTCTATAAAAACTGTTGTATTCTTTTTGCTGGTGGGATTCTCTCTGAAATTGGTCTGAGATCCTCCGGCGATGATTAAAGCCTATTCGAAGGCATTGCCTGGAGTCTGTTTAGGTATTGCTGTGCAGCAAGTTAGTGGAGTACTAGAGATCTTATTTCCCAAGTGATAGTTTTCATAGGGGGTCAAGACATTGACCGACTCAGCCAAAGTCGAATTAGGAGACGTGCTATAGGATAAATATTATTGAATGTCAATCAGGAAATGTTTGAGGGAGCGGATTAGGAAACGACGATGAAAAAAAAAAACATTTGAGGCTACACAGTGAAGGTACAACCTTCACTGTCAAGCAGACCTTTGCGTTTTTACCGTTTACACGGGAACGCAGCGGTGGAGCGTTTTAAAGATTTCCACTCTGAGGTTGGTTTCACTTTTTTGCGTTTTTAAGCCCCAAAAACGCCGTCGCCGTGTAAACGAAAGGCACATGCGATAAAATATTTTTACGTTTTCACCCGCGAGCGTTCTCGTGTAAACAGGGCATTAGTGCACAAATGGTAGACAACTGACAATTAGTACTGTAGGTTAATAGTTTTAAGATATCAGTAGGGATGCTTGCCATAACAAGCACCACTGATAAAATTATGCTTGCTTTAGTAGTGACCACTCAAAATGAGAATGATTGCACTATTGAATATTACCATGTCTCCCATACGTCCTGGGCGGCCTCGTTCACCTGGCTCCCCAGGTGGCCCCTAGTAGAGAGAGAGAGAGAGAGAGAGAGGGAGAGAGCACATGATTTAGCAGAGCTGGGGTGCTTCTCAATATCCCTCCTCGTCTCCTCGCTCCTCCGTCCTCCCTCCTATGACCCGGAAACCGATCGAGCTCAGCCATCTTGAAGGACATCTCAATTCTCTAATTGCACCGTGAGGAGTCGAGGATCGAGGAGATAGGAGGCTTCCTGAGGAGTCATAAGCGAGGATACACAGGTGCATCCTACGCGGAACTGTTATGTTGACTAAACGTGACGCACGTGTCAATTCTCCTCCCCCTTCACATCGGTCACAATCATTTTAATTTATACTTTACCTTTGCAGTTTATATAAACCACACATCTCTGATATTTCAACAGTATAGCCTATCTTTATTATTATTTATTATTAATTTATTAAATAACCAAACTTTAACAACATAAGGGCAGATCCTTTTAGCGCTGCTGATGACACTGTGGAGTGACGCTCGAGTCATCAAGTACTCCAATGTATATAAAAAAGCTTTTATTCGATTCCTCTGACCTCCTTTCCTTTCCTCGCTTCCTCCCCTCGCGTCCTACAGGGGGTGGAGCTGAGACGCAAGGAAAGGAAGCAAGGAAAGGAAACGAGGAAGCACAAATAAGAAATGAGAAGCACCCCAGGTGTTGTCATCTGAGATCTGGAAGTACTGAGCTACATAACACAGGTGTCACTAATAAGCCTCATCAAAGTCTAATTAAAGCAGCTGGTACACACAGACAAGAGCTGCCTCACCTGCCGTCCAGGTTTTCCCATCTCTCCTTCAGGACCAGGTAGACCTTGCGCTCTCTACAAGCTCACAGGAAGCAGAACGGTGTCAGGGATATTCCATGTTCAGAAACATAAATCACACAAACATGTGCTGTAATAATACTTACAGGCCAGCCTGCAAGGAGAAGCTGGAAGAATGATGTTTGCTGGAGGAGAGTGTGGGAGAAAAATATTTAATTGATTTGAGCCATCACATGACTATCCATGTTAATCACATAATCACTGCTGATATTAAAGCATTATCGGATAATCTGTTACAATATTAGGTAAATATTGTAATATTAGGTAAATAAATATATAAATATTTTACACAATATTTCCTAATATTGTGTAAAAACCTACACAATATTAGGAAACAATAATATTGCAATATTTAATTTTTCTGTATATTGCAATATGAAAAAAATATATGTAATTAAGGCAAGTCACCAGATGACTTGAATAGCTATAATTGGAAATTACTAATTATTATAGAAGGGGAGTGCATCTGCATAGATAAAAAATCCTTCTTGTAAGCATGAAACATCATTTTAGGATAGAACAATATGGGAAAAATATGGAAAATGGGGGGGGGGGGGATGGGGGTGGCTTTCCTCTTCATTACTCTGAGGAGTCATTTTAATGAAGGCAAAGGCCATAATGCTATTCTAGTCTTACTAAAGCTTTAAGGATCCATTCTCATCCAACCAGACTCTAGACTTAAAAGCTGCCCTGTAAACTACAAAGGCGTTCACAAAGACAGCATCTTGCACACATGACATGGAAACCAAAATAAGCTACGAGGTCACAGGCTGCTTTTAATTAGACCACGCTTGGCAGAGGTTTCGGTTATCCCAAAGGAGATGCGTTCAGAGATACCAAGCTGGAAACTGACATGAAGGGTGAGACTGATTGATAGTGTTGAGGTAACCTTGTTCTGGGCTTGAGCAAAGGGGATATCCCTCCTGCTTTTACCTTCAGTTACAGAAACAACTTATGACCTCATGCGCCAGTAACAGGAAAAAAAAGCCATTGCCCTCAGCTGGATTGCTGAATGTACAGTGCGGGATGGTTCAAAGGCTGTAGGAAACAAATACCCCATTACAGCAACAAGAGAGAATTCCTTCCTCTTTCTCTGAGGGCATCTTTATTCAATCACGGCAGTGGTGCTCCTCTGAGCTATTACACAAGATACAGCTGTGCACAGCCATTTTAAAGTCATGAGGAATGAAGACAGGGAGATCTCAGATAGGGACAGAGCGTTCAGTCAGGAAAACCTGAAGAAACTGTGAAAAAGAAAGAAGAGAAAACTCACCTGAAACGCAGCCCATTCTTCAGGTGTGTTTCTCCACAGGTAGAATGTGGGCAGCCCAGGAGGCCCGGGAGGTCCTCGGAATCCATGGCGACCTGGACGGCCCCTAAGCCCAATGGCACCCTAGAACATAGCCCAGAAAAGACACCACCAGATAACTAATAAATTACTACATTTGTATCTCAAGCTATAATTACATTTTCTTTTCCAGATGTAATTGTACAAGTGCCTGTGATTACACTACTAAACTTAATTTTAAAACTTCAAGGCCTGGTCTCACAGACAGGAATTAGATTAAGCCAGGATTAGGCCTTAGTACAATTAGGATATTTAATTGCTTTTATAAACATGCCTTAGAAAAAAATATATATATTTTAAGTCAGTGCAAGCTGGTTTCAGTTAAAACAGGTCAAACATGCATTTTAAAGGCTTAAGCCTTGTCTGTGAAATTGGGGGCAAAAGTTTAGGGTCAATATTTTTTTTATTTAAAAAAAAAAAAAGAATACTTTTATTCAGGGAGGATGCATAAAGCTGATCAAAAGGAACAGCAAAGACATTTATAATGTTACATATGATTTCTATTTTTTATAAACATTCAAAGAATCCTAAAAACTTTTTTTCAACATTGATAATAAAAAGAAATGTTACTTCAGCAACAAATCAGCATATTATAATGATTTAAAAGGGTCATGTGACACTAAAGACTTATAATTAAGAGTTATAATGGCTGCTGAAAATTTTCAAGTTATTGAAAATACTTTACAATATTACTGAATTTTTTACTTTATTTGCAGTAATATAACTGTAAATGCAGCCTTGATGGGCATACATAACTTCTTACAGAACCCAAAATGGTAGTGCAAGTTGTGTTAAAATTTTTGATAAACCTATCTTTTTAGGTTTGCATAAACATAAAATGTGCAATAGAACCCTTTTGTCTTTGAACCCATGGTTATGATAAACATATTGCACATGTTTACAGTGTAAAGATGAATATACGTAGATCTTTAAAGAGATGTGCGAAAGATCAGTCAGTTTGCAAATATAAGGCTACTGTTGGTTTGGTTTTGAATGCTGAAAGTATTAACATTCCATCAATGGGATGGGGGATTTTTAAACTTTAAATGTTACATTTCTTACTATAAAGTGAATGAAGAAAAAGAAAAAAAAAAAGAATGAAATTGAAAGAAATTCATTTATCTGTGATTTTAAAGAAATACTGCATATTTGGAATTTGGACTTCTGTAGTCTTTTGTAGTGACAAAGGTCATAAATGGACATGAAGGGTCAGCTGTTCATGACCAAAGGCACGTGAACTTTCCGTCAACTTCAGTGGTAAAGCACTCTGACCTTAGCTTGCCTTTATTCATCCTAAAGACTTTGACTCATTTCTCATTAGTAAACACTCTATTTATCATACCTTATCACCTTTGGCTCCTGGATAGCCAACACTGCCAGGACATCCCTGAGGAGGAAAGAAAGAGATATTTGTATATACACAATATACAAAGCCACAGTGTGAGCAAAATAAAACATGCTGCTTTCATTTTTAATGGCAAGCAGGCTTGTTTAAATATGTAAAAGGTTTATCGCTAGTGGAAATAAGCAATAAAAAACTGACAAACAATTTTCCTAGTTGTCTTCCTCTGAACAAAAAAACAAAAAACAAAAAAACATTCAGACTTCAGAGGTCAGACAAGTTAATAAAATCTATTAACTTTAGTGGCACTCTCACCAGGGTAGTAAAAGCACATTGTTAAACTTAAACCTAACCTTTTAACTAAAACAAAGCCAGTCTAAAAGCTGACTTCCTGCAAGATGACATCTGGTTTGCAAGTTTCTTGCAACAATAATATTCACATAGAGTACAAACTTTTATCACTAAATGGCACTAAACGGTTTTTGAGTTTATGGTTATCTGAACAATAACAGCAATTGTTCTAGTCTCATAAATAAATAAATAAATAAATAAAATACTGGACTATTTTTACTGGAGCAAAAGTATTATAATATTTGTTAAAATGTGGAATTAGCTTTTATTCTTATATTTCCAGTTCTCATTTTCATTTTAGTGTAAGTTTTAGTAATTTTGTTATACCTTTGTCTTTTTTTTTTTTTTTTTTGGATTTTCAAGCGGTTCAAGTTTCAATTACATAGAAGTCTATGGAGGAGTGAGACAACTCTCAGATTTCATCAAAAATATCTTAATTTGTGTTTCGAAAATGAACGAAAGTCTTACGGGGTTGGAACAACATGAGGGTGAGTAATTAATGACGGAATTTTCATTTTTGGGTGAACTAACCCTTTAATGCTTTCAGCCAACTGGTATAAATCAAGCCTTCATGAACTAATGGAGGCCTTTTACAATATCTGGGCCACTGGAGCTCAGACAAAAGCCTCCAGGCACCATGTCTGGGTTTACTACTGTTATGACTAGTTACTTGTAAAGCCAGGTGAATGTTGTATTTTGACTGAGTGATGCAGATGGGTTGTTCCTTCTACAGTCAATTTTAGAGAGCGGGATGAATCTAAAATCTTCAGATTCTACTGAATCTACAAAATCAAAGTCCTAATAAATTCCCTTCTTTAATATTTCCCTCTTGTGCTTTCTGTATCAGACTTGGTTCTGCTTTTGCAGATTGTGGCAGACGTTTCCTACTCTATTTATTGTGTAAAAACCTGCACATGCCTTGTCTGATGTATCTACCAAGTGATTTCAGCTTTTGTGTCCATTTTCTGCAAGATATATACCATTATTTATACACTATGATATTATTTATTAATATTTTGAATCAGCTTTTTCATTATTTTTTCAAATTAGCAGTACTCAATCTAATTTAACTTTTAGTAATTTTGTCATTTTTATTATTTTTTTTTTTACTTATCTTTTTTCTAATTAATAGCTTAATTTATTTCAGTTAGCAAAATTATATTTAATAGTTTACAACAACAACACTGATATACTGAATATATACTCACAGGCTCACCCCGGGGCCCCACTGGCCCCATGGGTCCCCGTTGGATGTGATACATATTCCCATCAGAGCCACGCACAAGGTCTCCATGCCTGCCTGTGAGTATAACGGTACCTGGGTTCTCCTCAGATCCCCAACCAGACCCTGCAGGGATATCAGGAGTCCCGGATGCTGTTCTTCCACTGCCTTTTGAGATGCCTTCCCAATAAGTTGTACTATCAGGAGCCTGTGTGATGGCCCCCAGATCCTCTTTTAACAAGTTTGATTCTCGATCCTCAGGACTTGAGGTGGTTTCTAGGAGAGTTTCTCCACTAGATACAGTACTTCCGGTAGGTTTCTCGGGTACCTGAACATCCAAGTTGATAATTCTGGTATCCACTGGTTTCTTTGGTGAAGGTTTGCCTGGTTTGTGCTTGTCAGTGGTGATGTTTTCATCTAAATGTTTAGATGTGGATGCTGGTTTTCCGTCACGACTTTCTGTAGTGTCAGTTGGAAAGGATTTGGAAGGTTTACCACCATTTTTGGACAATATGTTTTGGTCCACAAGGTCTGTATCCTCATCCACAACAAACACATCACCTCGCCCCACAAGGACAGGACGTTTGGATCCAGTGGGAATAGTACCATCACCACGTATAATCCCACGTCTCCTGAGACCCTATCAACATAAAAAAAATACTTAATGTGTGCCAAGAATTTTGTGTAAGCTATTCAATTTCATCTGGGAGATTCATTTTTATTATGACATGTTTAATGTAGATTTAATCACTTGTATTTCTTCACAAGGTCTAATTTACCATGAGAATGTTTATGTGATTTGATTAAAGCTGTAATCCATTTTAACATTTGGTTGTGGAGATTCTAACAGATGCTCAGGTAAATATGCAATAATTGCAGAAAGATTAACAAAATATTAAGCATCTTGTAGCAATCAGCCACACACACACACACTATATTTTGAGACAAAGTCAATGAGATTTGGAGAAAGAGACAAAAATAAAAAAAAGGAAAAAACAACAGAATCAAGGTCTGGATTCCACATGATCTGGTTCTGAATGATGAAAAGGGAAATGAAAAACAGCCTCTCTCTGCGATGAAACACCCTCATCACGGTGTCAAAGGCAGGGGATTGTTGCTGTATATCAAAATTACGTCATTATACAAAATTGAAACATGTGTCTCTTTAAAGTCTGCTGTGATTCTGTCTAGTTGCTCTATTTGCACAAAAGTCTAGGCCAAGTGTTTCAGTAATGAGACTTTTGTAGGACAATACGAGTGCTTCAGTTCTTTTGGTGGCATCTGCCACCAAATATAAATATCTATATAATTATATTATTACTATTATTATTATTATTAATAATATGCAAGTCAGCAATATGACATTCGACTGTAGCCTGCAAAGGTGAGATGGAAGAGCGTTTATACGACGGAAATGTGGGTTAAATCAGACCCTATGGTCTAATACTATGAGTAACAATGGCTCTTTCTGTGTCCACAGCCTGATAAACTGACACTTGATCTCCACCTGGCTATGGAGGGCTGTCGTCCAGCTTATCTTCATGCTGTTGGTCTGATATCCCTCTAATAGCCTGCCAAAGAGGGTCTGAACACACTGACTCACATTAAGTGTCCAGTCACCCAAAAAAGAGCAACTTCCTCTCCAGCTCTAGCAATAATAGCATTAGGCCACTAGGGGGCTTCCAGTGACTAGGACCACCATAAAAAAACTTGTAACCTCCCTATTACAGTGCTTACAAACAGTGTCCTTAATTAATAACCAGTCCTTTTTTTTCTCTCTCTCTCTCTCTTGTGTCATGATTCTGGAATCACGTCCCTGAATTTTCCAAGTCTTGTGGCGGGATCATGGCAGACCCATGTTTTGTGTACAAGCACATATTGTTTGGGCCATGTGCTTGAGTTGTCTCCTTATATTACCCAGCCCCCTTGTTATCCTCGCCTTGTCATTATTGCCTAGTTACCTGTCACCTGTTCCCCTCAATAGTTTCTCCATATTTAATCCCTTTGTGTTTGCTGTCCTGTGCCGGTTCATTGTCAAACTATGGCCATGTTTACACAAAGCCGGGTATTTAGCGAAACGAATATTTTCCGCCTCTCCGTTTTCAAAAATAACATCGTTTACAAACCCGCATAAATACGCCGTCGAGTGCCATCATAACTATGCCAAACCTATTGGCGGCAGTGTAGGGAGAAGCAAGCCAATCAGAAGCCAATCATGCAAGCCAATCAGAATCCTCAGAATCGACAAGAGAGAACATAAAACGCTGTTTCTCCCAGTTGACATGACAACACATAACCGGCGTTTTCAGAAATCTCCATTTTGGCCTGGAGTTTTTAGAAATAATCGTTTTCTGTAAAAACGGGGTTTTCGTGTAAACGAGAGGCCAATCCGCAGGGAAATATCTGCGTTTTCCCCATGTAAACGGGGCCTATGTATCATACTTTGTGTGAAACAAACCTGTTGAAAGTCTTGTCTAGAAAGAAGTGTTTGATCCTGTCTTAGTTAGCTTATTGTCTGAGTCTTAGTGTAGTGATGTTTTTCCTGCCTTGTTGTGCCCCATCATGGGTTTTGTTTTCTGTTTTTGTCATTAATAATCCCTGTTTGAGTAATCTGCTGTCTGCTATTGGGTTTGTCCTTCAGCCACATGACACTCTTGTAAAAAGTTTGGAAATATAGGCTAAATTTCATTACTGAAAAAGCAAAGTCACTAAAGTGAAAACCTCCAGAAACGTTGACATTCAACAAGGAGGGATTCAATTCATATCTAGGGACTAGAATAACATAGAGCCACCTAGCAACCATATAGCAACAACTCGGGATTGTGGTGGTGACTTTTACACAAGAAACCCTTACTCACATTGACTGTCATGGCCAAGTGGGGGAAATACAGAAGCTGTGACAAGATTAAGCAAAGATCTGTCTACAGGATTAAGGCTATTTTGACATTATCCAGATCAACGATCACTTCAAGAATGAATGTTCCCAGAGCTTTTTGCTGTGATATGCACATGATGTACAACCCTGCTGCTAGGTCTGTTACAGAAACCTTTCCTGACTGAACACAGTTAAGACAGATCAGTGAAAAGGGCCAGATGACAAGTCTGTAGGAGAGGTAAAGAGTTTCCCTAAAAAATAAAAAGGATATGCCTTTAGGCTTCAGATACATTACTTAAATGCACGTCTACATGCCAGCTAACCAATGCAAACATGTGGGCAAAACAAATGTGCCTATTATCATACTTCAGTTCTGAAAGTTACGAATTTACATCTAATGCCTTAGTCTGTAAATATATAAGTGGAAAAGCCTACAAAAAAGGGTCTAGTAGATACAATCACACACACACATAAGTCAGCACAAAAGAAGACTTGAAAGACTGTCTGTAGATGCAGGTATTTATGGGAAATGTCAAACCAGCCGTATCTTGCATTTTGACTGATTTAAAGGAATTGTTTATTCCTACCTTAGTTACACGTGTGAACAAGTTTTGATAAGTAATATATGTTTTATAGAAATGCCAATCGAGGTTGAAAACATCTGCAGCAAAGAAATACAAAAATTACTGTAACACCTCCTAAATAATCATTTTTTGTTGTGTACAGTTCTTTTGAAATTGTTTTCATCCAAACAACTTTATATAAATATACTTCATTTTTACCATGAATATAGCCTTACAAGCTGCCATGTTGTAAATGTAAATAAATCGTTGCCATGCATTACAATAATTTGTTTATTAAAAGTTGATTGTTACGTGCACATTAAATTATTACTGCCTCGCATCAATGAATAGGTTTGTCGACGAATTATCGAAAATGATACTCTTCCTCTTCTCCGTGAGAGCTTAACAAGACCATGCCCCCTTTCGTGTATTCCTGAGGGCGGAAATTAGTAAAAAAAACTGTTCTAATTACGTCATTAAAAAAGTAAGAGAGGGATGTTGTCCAAACCGTAGGCTTGAAAGGGGACTTCTGTAGGCTTTGAAAGGGGACTTCTGTTAAATAAAATATCTCGTTAGGCATTGAACTTTGAGCTTTATAATTGTACAGGTATTATTTATGCTCTAACAACAACATTACACATGAACTACAGTTTGAAAAATGGAAACGCAAAGAAGGGGACATTTAACAACAGCACCACCACATAAAATATTTCCCATAAAGCAATGTCCTACATTTAAAGGGGTGATGAACTTTTGACAACTTTTTGACAACTTTTGACATCTGACAACAGAGGATAAAACACCACCCCAGCAAAAGAAAATCAACGCCTGCTTCAACACAACCGGTTTAGCCCTGCCCACCGATTCGCGCATGACACGCATAGCTAAATAACATGGGCCTACCTCGATGACAAAGAGGATCGAGCTACCGAGCAATAAACATGCCGTTTACAAAATATTGTGCAGTGCCTGGTTGTGGAAGAAGACAGTCGCTGCATAAGCGAGTGAGTTGAAACTCATTATAATATGCAAAACTGTTATCCACTCACAGCAGTGGGCGTTTACTTCCAAGTCTGTAGAAAATAGCCATTACTTATTCATTTTTTAATGTTTTTGAATGTAAAAACCAAGTGAATGTCATAAGTTGACCTCAGACAACAATACAAAAAAAAAAAAAAATCAAAAAGCCAGTTCATGACCCCTTTAATAAGGAGAAAAGATTGTTAGTCCCAAAAAGAAAATTAAGTAAGAAAACATCAATTACATCAGAAGAACTGAATTCATTCTCAATCTCATCCATGTTATATTGGTCTTGTCATAAAACTGTTGCCACAGCTGTTGTTTTTCTGCCACCGAGAGTGTGTCAGGCTGAGAATTTAATTTAGCTCTTTGCATAATAATAAAATATTATTAATACAAAGTCTATAAGGAGCAGTGGTTATCATACAGTGAGCTATAATAAGCAGCACAAAAAAATAAATAAAAAAATGAGAGAAGTGCGGAAAATCAATTGCAATATTGTAAAATACTGCAAAACCAATAAATGTGAATTATAGTCAAAATCTGCACCCTGACACTGGACATGAACTTAGCGTTTGTGGTAAACTGGGTCGAACTATAGCTCAGTGAAAACTATTTCCCTCATATAAACCAAAACCACTGTAACCTCTCACATCTGCAGCCAAACCACTGTCAGCCTTCAGGAGAAAAGGACTAACACTTGATTACACGCATATGTCTTATTTTTCAACACGAATATTTCTACACATAATAAAAACCACAAAAAAAAAATTACATCAAAGAGTAGCTTCATAAAGTGTTGAATTACCGCTCACCACCAAACCCACGTTTCATTAGGCGATAAGAGTCGTTCATACATGATTTGTAAGAACAATTTTCCCAAACAAACACATTTCGGAAAGGTTTCCAGAATGAAGCCATACCTTTGGAATGTGATTTCTCTGACCTTGTGCTCTAAATCTCATTAAATCCAACAGAAACCATCCTAGCAAACACATCCAGATCCTCATGGTGGCACACACACACACACACATTCACTCACACATACATCACCAACAACAAAAATGCAGTGAAACTCACAGTCGAGACTAGTCAATAATGTGCAAAACACGCTAGCACACCCACAAACTCTCAATCCACCCACATTCACGCAGATTACATGCAGAAACGTTCATACTGTAT